GGGAGATGGTGGTGTGACTAGCCTTTGCTCATGTTCTTCGTGTATACTTGCACTTATCTTGCTTGCGTGACGCGTGGCTCTAGTCACGCCAGGTTCATATTTGTAAGGGAGCTTGTTAAATTTGTACACCAACCTTTGCCCAGGGACCTGAGTAAAAACAAGTTGAAAAAATGATTAATAACAAGCCAATACGTAAACGGAAGATGTCCATTTAAAACCTTTACCTAACTGATCAAAAGATCTCTAAAGTGTTTCAGTTTCACTATCAAGTTTTGTATCTCATTTTTGGTATTGATCCCTCGTCGATAATCTTGATTGAAGGTAAAGATTGTGAATTATCAACATTTTGTGCAAGATGTCGAAGTAACAAACCTTTATTGAATTGAATCTCTGTTCAGGAAGGATCTTTGTTGTTTCAAACTCAAGCAATGAAATGAAATTCAAGATTAAACTGACACCAGGAAAGCCTTAAGAGTACACGTCACTTGAGAGGCTCATCGATTCAAGAACAGTGTTTCATTATTCATCATTTCATTATATTGCCAAAAAAAAAGAAAGAAAAAAGGTTTAAACATTTAAAGCTTGAAATTCACCTTCTTAATTATTCCTTGTTGGTAGTAATATCTCAAGGCTCTGCTCAATTTCTCATAATTCATTCCCCTCTTTCTTTTCAGGAGTCCCCATCTCTTCGCCACCTCGCCAGGGTTTTTCAGTTTAAACTCTCCGCGTTCCTTGTTACTCCAAGTAATCAATGAGCGGCAGCTATCTTCTGCCAGTAGCTCCAGGAGATACTCCCACAGATGCACGATGTTCTTGTAGCGAGGCTCTTTAGCGCCAGGACTTGGTTGATCCTTGTCTTCGCACAGACTATAAAACTCGTTCGGCTGCTGGGGATTGGATTTTTCTGTTTCTTGAGCTGCTTCAACTAAGATCAAATAGAACGTTCTACTGTGAGGATTTGCTCTCAATGTCAAGTTTTAAGGTACCTCGGTCGGTTCTCTAATCGTGCCTCAGTTGCGGCTTTACAACTGTACTTTAACTTCGTATATATTCGGATTTACTTTTCAAAATACCCATCAAAACAACAGAATCTCTCTTTTTTGAATCTATTTTCAGTGTTCTAATCGCCCAATCGCCACCGCCGGAAGAGAGCAGTTTCCTATGATAGTCACGATTTTCAAGGCAGCCCACTCATTCACACTGCCTTAATTTAAGCAGAATAAAACTGCTTGAAGAGCGGTGTGGAGCAGTTTATGTGCGAATTAGAATCAGTTCAGAGTTGTTCTGCGCTCCCTACAAGCTATCCGGCCTAATTCATGTAACATGTTTTCGCAAACACATTACATATAGATGTGTTATGTAGCGCAACCTTTCAAAATGTAAGTAAATTTTCTACAAACTGTTGCAATCATTACACGGGAATTTGATAATGTTTTTAAATGCAAAGGTAAGAAATGCGTCCGACCGGTGCTATGTCAGGCCTCATAGGCTACGGAACCGTATCACTGGGTTAATAATTCCCTTAAAAAACTGTCGGCTCTTGCTCTTGCCAGGGGAATGTCCCTATCCCGGCTGTAATTACTAGGTGGGTAGGGCATAAAATATAAACATTATTGGAAAAGTAAGAAGTTAATAAGTACCTCGTCCGTATGTTGTCATTGAAGTGACCATGGTGTCTTCGGTCGCTAGTAAGTCCTTCTTCACTATGCAAACTTCACAAACTTCGATAATTGCAATTTGAAATTTTTGATCTGCAAGATGCCCTTTTTATATTCATCGCTTTGTCAGACAGGAAGTTCTAATTGTCATCCTGTTTACGAAGAGGGATGACGTTAGCATACTATTTTGTCACGCTAAGTAAACTTGTACATGACTGGCAATACCTAGATCCTTCGATCGAAACACTCCTTATCAAACCATTACTTGTAACTTTTATTCCTTTCATACTTGTAGCTAGAATCTTTTGAACCGAAAACAGAGAGTTTAACATGTACAAGAAGCCTAGAAGGAAGGTATCTTGCTAGTACGCATTCGACCGACCGGACTCGGTTATGTGAATGATGCTATATCATCAATGATTTTATCAAGTCAAGTGTGATGCTGCTGATAAAAATTGTGTTTTATTCGTTTTATTATTGAGCGGCACCAAATTTCGCAATACACGGGTAAAAAAATCTAGAAACGTTCGAATTTTCGTCAGCTAAAAGCTGTTTGCATTTTGATACAACGTAAAGTATGTTAAGTTGACGTCAATAGCGTGACATAGTGTCTGGTTATTTCGTGACAACTATAAAAAGCAGAACGGAAGAACTTTATGTTAATCATAGGAAGAAAACAAAGCAGGGAAGTTCTAAGAGTTCCGGATGACAATTTTTGAAAGAATTGAGTTCCTTTATTTTTTGTTGTTTAATTGTCCAATCGTAAGCATTCTACGGTGTTATAACATCCTCTCAAATTAAACAAGAGGACATTAATACTAAAATGTTTTATAATTTTCCATCATTATTAATATTTTCAAAAAATAAGTTGGATCAAAATAATTTAAATACATTTTAATGTCGCTCATAATCAATAAAAGACAATACTACTGAAGGGCAACATTTGTAAAGAAAAACGCACAGGGATCGTTGCAAAAGTATACCAATTTTATATTTTGGCGATTCATAACTCTGCATTTTGGTTAGTACAATTTTTTTTTACTATGGCAACCGGCGTTAATGTTTCGAAAATTTTAATTTCTTTATTACCCGTTAAGGGTGAGTATTTTTAACTTCTCCCCACTTTCTAGCTCCAATTAAATTAACAGCTCAATTGACCACTTTAACCTGTTTTTTTTTTCTAGCAATAATAATCATATTAAAAGTTTGCGAATGAACTTGATAACCAGACGAACTCACGGCTTTCTCTGTAGCTTTCAACTGTTTCACTTGACTAGGCAGCCTCAGGGTGTTTTTCAAAATCGATTAACAATCGCGTTTCTTAAGATAACACGTGTCTTTTATTAGATATCAAAGAATAGAACCTTGCGTCGTACTAGAGACAAAAGATATGCGATAGAAGATCCAACTTTTTTTCAGTTGGCACTGGAAGTGAGTGGGATGGGTTGTTTTCTAGACAAAGCATGTCGTTCCTTAATAGGGGCAACGACACGCTTTCTAAGTCTCACATGAATTAAATTCCAAATAATTGGTCCAGTTTTGTTACGTAAGACTATACTCAAGCAAACAAACTTTTTCCTCTGGTCTGTTGCTACGGATGGCAGGGATCATGAGACTCACTGATGAAATTTGTTTGATATGTATATCTTCTTCACGTCTCCCAAAGTGCATTTAGCCACTGATTTTGTTTATGGGTTTAAGCATATAACTTCACTGCAGCATTGACATAAAACTTTACAGCAATATGCGCGTGACTTAGCCCCCTTTCATTGTTTTTAACTATTTATAAAATAACTAAGATAGTACGCGCGTTCTGATTGGTTAAAAACCTATGGTTTATTGTGCCGGTAAACTCATACTTTTACTACAAGTTATTTTATAAAAGCAATAGACCACACTTTCTATGGGTTTACCGGCGTGATAACCCACTTGTTATGTTGGGAGAACACTCGAAAAGCTTGTAAATCACGAGCCGAAGAAAAATACCAAGTATCCGCGTTACGGGCAATTTTAAAAATGGTCCTGCATGTTTATCTCTAAGTGCCCTTGAATAAACGTCATTGCTACTTTCGAACAAAAAAAAGTGTCACAAAGATATTGCTGTTTAGTTCAATTCTGATTACTTAGCACCTTTACCCACACAAAAAATGCTCCTTTGTAGTTATGACGAAGATATGAAACAAAGGGACCATCGTACGTTTCTGGGGAACTGCCCACACACCCTCCCCTAAGCCAACATAACGCTTAATTTTCACTTAGGGCAAAAGTTGGCTTAGGGAATAAAAATGTCAGGGAGCACGGACCATAACAATTATTTTGAAGATTTTTGCGTAGTATTAAAACGTGACTGGAAACGTTGGACCACTTCCTAATTGCTATCCGTAGCAACAGACGACAGAAATGAGTTTCGATGCCTAAATATAGTCATCAATAACATAACTGCAAATTTTCGGAATTTGATTGATGCGAAGACTCTTTTTTAAAAAAGTTAAAGATAGCTATTAGCGTGACAAAGCCCTTGCAAGCCACTTTACAGAATTTTTTTAATTTGTGCTTGTTGCAGACATTTTTAAATCATGCTTAAGAACCTGGAAGAAGGAAGAAAAACCTAGCTGTAGTTGCTTGTAAAGTGACCGGTAAAGATACTGATGGTAACATTTTTTAAAAACTGTTTACAAATCCATTTCAAAAATTACTACTCAAACGATAGTGAGGCTGACATTGATCAGTTGGTACCGTCAAGGTCATGCTCATTATACGGCCTTTAAGTAAATCATACCACTAATCAATTGTTTGTAAATGAGAAACACACTTCCCCATTCAAACAAAAGGGCTTTATCGCGCGCGCTTTATCCGTTTAGCAGCACATTTTAAATTTATTGTCTCATTTCGGGTGTCATTAAAATTCCTTGCCTTGTGCAGCAGCAGTAGATTTTGAATTTATTTTCTCAGTTCGGGTGTCGTTAAAATTCCTTGTCTTAGCAACGTGAAAATACACGTTTTAGGAAGTCTATTGTTACCAGTTCCCCTCAGGGCTAGGGTCATTATAACAATGAATACTTGAGAGGGGGCCACTCTATTTATATTGATTATGATAGCCGACCTTCTGAGACAAAGTCTAGTTGTCGCATATTAGGAAGCTATAAGCTAAACATAGAGGTTAAATAGCTCCTAAAACCTCTCATGGGAAGTCAGTTGTGGCTGATGGCCGGAAAGTCTATAGAACAAAGTCTATTCTGAATTTCGGTATAATATTACTGTACAAATAAAATACCGCACAAACACGCATTGAGCCATTTAATGTAAATGATAATCCAAACATTTCTGGAAGCGAAAAGAAATGAATTCTTTTTTTTTATCTTTTTTATCCACAGGACGTGTTTCCGTATCTTGTAAACTCACTCCACAATGTCCATTTCGACACAGTGCACTGTTCGGTACAATAGACTGAGAATCTGCGAAGGACTGGCACGAAAGCACACATGCGAAAAGGGAGAAACAGAAGTTAATTATGCCTTTGTTTTGGAGAGCTAGACTGCGCTAAAAATTCTTACCTTCCTTTCAAAACACCCAATGATTTAAATTTTTCAACAGTTCCTCGCCTTAATCAGATTGATATTAGTACAACACACACATACTATACTTTGTTTCATACACATCATTTTGCCATCTCCGCCAGCAAATAGCAAACGCTAGACGAGGCGGGCGGAGACGAAACGTTACAGCAGTTATAACAGATAATATTGTAAAGTAACTAAATAAACTATGTGGATAAATAAGAATTACAGAAAAAACAAGCTAAAGTTACAAGATAAAATACATTAAAAGATAAAACGTTTGCGCGTGATTCTTGTCCTTTTATGAATTTTGGTATTTTTATTCCAAGTCAGGTTGGTAATGTCTAGTTCAGTCAGTACTTGCCATGTATGTAACTTTGAAGCTGACTTGGTTTGGCATGGCCCGGATTATTAGCTGCTTAGACCCAGCCAAAGAAGAAGTAAAACTTAACAGCGTACCCCATAGACTAAAGAAGATCGAGTATGATATGTTGCAGATATGTTGCATATAAAAATATTGGTGTAAAAGGATGTTTTCTTGACCCCGCGCAAAAAAATTTGAAGGTCTAAGTAAGCTAGAGGAAAAAACATTTAGATTTCCTGCCAGCCTGATGTTTCTACAAACGTGTTTGTCCTTATAAATAATCTGAGGGCAAATCTGCATCTGCTTACGAGATAAACTAGGGAACACAACTGAATAGGAAGCAGGAATCTGATGCCAACCAAGGAACTCAAAGTAGATGGTCCACTTCCTTTTTGCATCTGCTGAAAAAGCAGTACCGGCTTAAATAAAACTTGCTTCCAGCAGTCAAATATCTTTTCCGACATCGAAAATAACAGGAATTTTTGAAACTTTTCTACGCATCATTTCAAGGTGGGAGTTTAATAATTGGATTTCCTAGTCTCCAGTGATAACTTAAACGGAAAAGGATTCTACTGCACCAATTTTTGTGTACCCTGGTCCCCGAGGTTTTTCTTGAAATTTTCCTTCGTGAAAAGCTGCAAGACCTTCCTGTTTTACCCGGGTTTAATAAACAGTAGAACTTAACACAGCGTAATAAACAGAACCGAAAATGATAATGAAGAAATGATCGTCGCAGTGAACGCAATGTATGCAATTGCGCAAAGAAGCCTGAAAAAGAAAAAAAATTCAAAACCGAAAATAAGAACCACAAAGCGACGGAAACCATTTTTACAAAAAAACTTAAGATTTATCCACCAACTTATAAAAACGGCTCATTTCTTTAGTGGTCTTTTAAGGCCAGAATTTTGTAGGGGGTGTGCACTTTAAGCGCCACAGCACTGTATGCGATAAACAACACCAATGTAAACCTTGACCTCTTTGAATAAAGCATAGCTGTATAGGCACCCTTTTAGAGAATAAACAGTACCATTATATGTATATATATTACTGTTATTTAGGGGAGCTTGTATTACTGTGCTCGCAGACATGGCTTAATCCCGCTAGTTTCTATCCCTTGATATTCTCTCTACCTACAGCTACATTACTGATGACCTCACTATATTGTGGATTGTTAACTGAACGGAAAACTCAGCGATCGCAGCGATTATATTATGATCTGATAGGTTTGTGTCCAGACCACCAAAATCAATGCTGATTCAATGCCTTCTACTTTGTAAACCTTCTAATCCAGATTTAATAACATGAAGGCCTAACATCAGATTTAATACTAAACCACTTTTAAATTACTTTCTGCTTAATAACTGGACAAGAACAATTTTGCTGTCCGCTACGGATAAAGAAGTTAAGAGATTATATTTAAGGACTACGATAAGCTGTGAATCAAACTAAGGTAAACAAAGCTCTCCGATCTCATATTCTCTCATGGTCAGTTCAATAACAGTCTCGACGCTTGTCCTCCCACCAAAAAAATATCTTGATCCCTTACCAAGCTTTCACGATATAGATTTATTCACTCCAAATAGTGTTTTTAGACAAGAAATCTGAGGACCTCAGCGCCTATATCCCAACCGTTAGGTGTAAGTATTACTCTCCACACAGCTTTTCCCAATTAAAAAGACATTTAAATATGTCTTCCAATTCAAATTCTAGTTTTTCATTTTTTCATACTTTACATCCGAAGCTTAAAACGTAATATGGAAAATTTCCAAACCCATCTATTAGATGAAATTAGTTTTTGCTTCAATATTTTAGGTAACACAGAAACTAGAATAAAAAATGCGTGTAATAATCTGGTTTTTTATCCTGCTATACCCCACTATAACTCGAACATGTGCCAGCACCTCTTTCGGCTGGAGTGTTCGCACGTATATTGATGAGAATCTTAAATACACAATTATCGAAAATGTTCTAATGAGGCTTTTCAGGCCCTTTGGGTTGAGTTACACCTACCCAAACATGCAAATATAATATGCGGAGTAATAAGCGGTGAAGCAGCATAATTCCCCAGAGCGTTTTCAGGAATTTTTTGATCATAGTTAACTATGTTTTGATCGATTAAACGAAAAACTCAGCGCCTCTGACAAGCAAATCTTTTTGAAGGGTGATTTTATTATTAATCACCTTCGCTTTTATGATTGCAAATACGCGCAAAACTTTATCTTATCCTTGCAAAGCTTCAACTTAACCCCGAGAGTGCATCATAACTCATATTCACATATTGACAACATATTTGCTAGCAATGAAGAAGATAACATAACAAGCGGTAATATAATCTCTGTTAAGTGATCACTTTTCTCAATTCTGTATTCTTAAATCTTCAAATTACCTCTTTGATCTCCAAAGTAAAAAAATGCTGTTCCGTGACTTCTTTAATTAATTCCTAAACGAACTGTCCCAACTTGACCTGACTGGAGCAGTCTCAGAACTGAATGACGGAAATACCATATCGCCCACATCGCTTCAAAAATAAGTAAAACATTAGCATTATTGCCAGCCTTAGACACTTTGTACCCCTGAATACTTTACATCACATATACATATCTCTTATCCAGCCCTACTTATTGTATGGCACAGTCGCTTGAGGCCAAGATGCTAAAACGTACAAAAACAAAATTCTTTTTCTTCAAAAACGCGCCCTCCGGCTCATGTTCTTTGGTGACTACAATTCTCATGCAGTACCTTATTTTGTCTCCTCTAGCTTTATTCCCTTTGATCTAGTCTACTTTAAATCCGTTGCTATTCTAAGCCATGATATATCTAACAGCTTAACACCTACTAACATATCTAACTTGTTTTCTTCCCAATCTAATATTCATTCATATAATACAAGATCACCCTCAAGAGGTGACTATTATGTTAAACACTGAAAGATAGTTAGACAAACAAAGTCTTTTTCAGGATGTGGTAAAAATCTGGAATAGTTTACCTAGTGAAATGCGTCAAATGTCCGAAAATAGCTTTAAAATCAATGTCCACGACACTTTACTCCGAATACTTTTAGAAGAAAATGATTATTAATATTGATTTACCCGCTTTAATAACAAACATTTCCTGAAAACTCGGCTTCTTATATTTGCAATGTATATGATTGTAAACTTAACTGAATTGAATTTACTTTTATTTATTTACTTTACATATTTTACTGTTTTACTCTAGTCTTTCTTGTGAGCTATTTGTATATCTATATAAATCACATACATGTAACCACTGCTCGCCTCGACTAGCTAATCTGCTAACTGCGGGCAGTGGATATTGCTTTCTGTAAAATTAACTATAATTAACAAACAGTTGAACAGTTGAACAGCTGAAAACAAACAGATTCCGTGAAAGCGGTGCAGCTAAAGATGTGTAACACATATTAGAACTTTAAATGCCATCCACAGACTCTAAAGTTAAACACCTTGCTCAACAAAAAAGGTGTTATGTACAGGAAGGTAGTTCAGTTGTGCTGTGTCATCCGAATGGTCACGTTTCAGAATCGCATCCACAACCTTGTACAGCATTCACAGATTCAAACTTGTACAGCATAACAAACAGTACCACGGGAACGTACTGCTCAATAGCTTTCATTTAAATGGTCACACTTTGATTAGGATCAAGGTTAAATTTACCATTTGCACCAAAACGAAATTGCTTGTGGTTTTTAGGGGATGCCAAGGGCGAAAAGCAAAAAGAAGAAATGTAAAACATGGTTTCTCGTCCTTTTCCCTGCAACATTTACTCCCAGTCAGTTGCAATTAGAAGTATATTACTAAATTGGTGGCGATTTTTAACTCTTCGTTCTTATTATTTTTTACCTTTTAAATCCATACTAATGTTGTACTTATTATATCTCGTCTTACCCTATCTTCGTGATTTTGTAATGCGCATTATCATTATCATTCCGAACATAATTGGTATTTCGTGGGAACATTCGTCAAATGTGCTCGGTATGTACTTATACGATTGAAACTTGAAAATAACCTTTGAAATGTTTACTTTTTTTGTCTCTTTCATTCTTCAGAGACCTTTCTCATTTCACATCTACAATACGTGATGGCAGTCAAGAACAGTAATAAACTGAACAAGCTATTAGTAACAACAGCGTAATTAAACCAAAGTGATTTTCTAAATAAGCCGGCAACAGTATTTTCGTAGAGCTGCAACCAGCAGTCCACTCCCAGCAATATTGAGCTTCTTAGCTCTTTGAATCTTGAATGACCCCTAATAATTTTACCGCTATATAACGAAAGGACCGATCGTTCCATTTTTCTCAGAAATTTGAAATAGATCTTGTTAGCCTAAATATAAAATCGCCGATATAATGCAGAGAATGAGTGATAACAATACGAATTTGTAGGCTCACTAAAATCTCTGATGAACTGCACACTGAAGAGAGACAATAATTAAAGGAGAACTGAGGGTTCCGCAACCAGAAAATGCGACGAATCTTGTTATTAAAACCATTGCTCGTAGAGATATCAGCTATCTCGCGTGCGGGCGTTTTTTTTATCTAGTCCCCCGTGCTAGGATCAAAGGTCCCTTAATTTTATTCGGCGAGGCAAAGAAGAAAGCTCATTTCTATACCCGGAGGCTAACAGCGAGTGTTTTGTTTTGTCTTGTTTGGTTTTTTTTTTTAACTACGCCAGCATTTCTGATTCTTTGAACGGGTCAGCCCATATTGGAACTGAAATATCTCATCAACGCAAACACACATTTTTGAAGTTATACTGTATATAATTAGTCATGATTTAACGATTATAGTGAAAGTGAAAGAAGCATCAGCATTAAAAAAGAATATGGCAGCTTATGTACTCGGAAATGTTTGCAAAGATAGCTCTAAGCCACACTGGAACGCAATACCAGTTGGACGTCATAAGCGTGACGTCGTTATAGGTGTGCTGCAGACTGGTGATAAAAAATAACATGAAAAGTTTTTTTTTGTATTGTGTGTTTTTTCCTTAACACGCAGTTTTGTCGCCCAAGCGTCACCATCATCATATTATCACATTCTTTTGCCACACACATTAGGAAACTCTAGGTATGACCTCGAGTTCGAGGTTGAGTACGTGTACAAGTTTTTGGATCCAATTCGATTCCTTCGCATTTTTACAGTAAAAACTGGCATATAAGAACCTAGAATTAGCGAGGTAAGGCTGGACAGGTTCTTATATTTTAGGGTTGTTTTTCAGAATTCAGGCCGATTAGGTTCTTTTGAAATAGGTTCATATTTTTCAGATGTGTCGTAGTGTAACCATTAGAATAAATATTGTACTGCTAGCACATAATTGTTTATGGACAAAATATTTCTAGTGAAAATCCAAGCAAACGTAAATCAAAGAAAGCATATACACAATTAGCTTTTTGTCAGAAGTTCTCACACAACTAAAACCCAGAATTTTGACCATCAAAATTGGGGTGATTTTTTGGTATAAAAATCTATTTTACTTTGCCATGCTGAACAGGTTCTTATAGGTATTTAAATGCCAACTTTCAGCCTGTAGGTTCTTATATGCGGGTTTTTACAGTACCACAGCAAGCATCCCGTTGCTCATGTCTCTTTAAGGTCTGGTCAGCCACGGGATATACAGAATTCAACAAAAGATTTATCCACCAACTTGTAAAAACGGCTCATTTCTTTAGTGGTCATTTGGGGGCAGAATTTTGTAGGGGGTGTGCACTTTAAGCGCCACAGCACTGAACGCGATAAACAACACCAATGTAAACCTTGACCTCTTTGAATTAAGCATAGCTGTAGAGGCACCCTTTTAGAGAATAAGCAGCGCCATTATATGTATATATATTACTGTTATTTATAGGCGAGCTAGTATTACTGTGCTCGAAGACATGGCTTAATCCCGCTAGTTTCTATCCCTTGATATTCTCCCTACCGACAGCTACATTACTAATTGCCTCATAAATATTGTGGATTGTTAAAAGAAAAACTCAGCGATCGCAGCGAATATATTATGATCTGATAGGTTTGTGTCCAGACCACCAAAAACATTGCTGATTCAATGCCTTCTAGTTTCTTAACCTTCTAATCTAGTTTTAATAACATGAAGGCCCAAAACCAGATTTAAAACTAAACTACTTTACTTTCTGCTTAATAACTGGAAAACAAATAGATTCCGTGAAAGCGGTACACCTAAAGATGTGTAACGCATATTAGAACTCTAAATGCCATCCGCAGACTCTAAAGTTGAACACTTGCTCACCAAAAAATGTATTATCTACAATGTTATACTTATTATATCTCGTCTTACCCTATCTTCATAAATTGTAAATGCGCATTAATAATTCATTCCGAAATTGGAATTTCATAGGAACGTTTGTCAAATGTGCTAGGTGTGCACTTATACGATTGAAATTTGAAAATATAAACTTTGAAATGTTTAGTACTTTTTTTGTCTCTTTCATTTACTTAGAAAAGACCTCTTTCTTTTCAGATCTACAAAACGTGATGGCATTCAAGAACAGTAAAAAAAAAGCAAGCTATTAGTAGCAACAACGTAATATACCATTCCGCAAAGTGATTTTCTAAACACGCTGGCAACAGCATTTTCGTAATGCTGCAACCAGCAGTCCACTCAGCAATATTGAGCTTTTTAGCTCTTTGAATCTTGAATTAACCCTAATAATATTACCGCTAACGAAAGGACCGATCGTTCCTTTTTTCTCAGAAATTTGAAATAGATCGAATACGATTTCCTTCTTTGCCTAAAATCGCCTATATAGTCATTGGCCGAGCATGTAGGCTCACTAAAATCGCTGATGAACTGCAGAAGAGAAGCAATAATTAAGAAGAATTGAAGTTCCGCAACCAATTAGGTTTTAATTAGCTTTTTCCTGAAAATGGGATGAATCTTTTTATGAAAATCATTTCTCATAGAGATATCAGCTTATCTCGCGTGCGGGCCGCGTCTCTCTTTTTTTTTTTATATCAAATCCCCCAACTCGAGGATCAAAGGTCCCCTAATTTTTTGCGGCGAGACAAAGAAGAAAGCTCATTTCTATACCCGCCTTTGTTTTGTTTCGTCTTTTTTTTCTTTTTTCACCACGCAAGCATTTCTGATACTTTGAACGGGTCAGCCCATATTGGAACTGATATATCTTAGCAACACGAACATACATTTTTGAATTTATTCCGTGTATAATTAGTTTTGATTTAACGATTATAGTAACGGTGAAAGTAGTATCAGCAATAAATTACAACGGAGGCTTATGTACTCAATGTTTGCCAAGACAGCTCTAAGCCACATTGGCATCAGTCATACAGCTGCATAACAAAAAAGCGAAAGCATATACTAAACTAACTTTGCCTCTTTTCCATTTTACAACGTAATACCAGTTTGATTAATGTGCTCAACAACGTACCAGAATGCAGACTGGTGATAAAAAAGAACATGAAATATATCATGTGATTCTTCCTTACCACGCAGTTTTGACGCCCAAGAGTTACCATCATCATATTATCACGTTCTCTTGACAGACACATTAGGAACCTCTAAGTATGACTTCCAGTACGAGATTGAGTACGTGTACAAGGTTTTGGATTCAGTTCGATTCCTTCGTATAATCACTTACAGTAAAAACCCGCATATAAGAACCTAGAATTTTCAAGGTCAGGTTCTTATATTTAAGGGTTGTTTTTCTGAATTCAGGCTTATTAGGTTCTTTTAAAATAGGTTCTTATTTTTCTGAGGTGTCGTAGTGTAACCATTAGCAGAAATATTGTACTGCTAACAACAGGCATAATGGTTTATCGAAAACATATTTCTAGTGAAAATCCAAGCAAATGTAAATGAAAGAAAACATATACACAATAAGTTTTGTCACACAATTAAAACCCTGAATTTTGACCATGAAAAATGGATTGATTTTTTCTATAACGATCTATTTTTCTTTGCCAGGCTGAACAGGTTCTTATATTTTTGGGTATTTAAATCACTAGGTTCTTATATGCGTGTTTCTTCTGTATCACAGCAAGCATCCCATCGTTACTCATGCCAGTCTCTTTATGGTCTCTGGTCAGCCACAGGAAAAGGCAAAGAGTTCCAGAGCCAGAACCTCGTACACCCCCTTGTTCGGCCTAAACGACCATGCGCGCGATCCTTTAAAGGGTAAGGTGTTTAGGGTACTCCGTCTTAAAACAGGGTATATGATTTTACTATTTGGCGTCTCAGATGTTTTGAAAGAGTATGAAAGTTGGAGATGAGAGGTCTACATTTGTGGCACCAATATATTTTTTTCCAAAACAAATCTAATTCCATGATGTAAGTTTAAACCACTGATGAGATTTGTACGCGAAACGAAATGATCCTTTGGTTGAATTCTGAAGTTCAAAAGCCAACTGAAAATTGCGTTTTTCGCTGCCGTCAATCATCTTAACGGACCTCTTAGGAGAAAAAACTTTACTTTAACGGGTTCAAAAGGTCAAGGTTTGTGATTTGTGATTGGTGGATTTCGATCCATTTCGTGTGTTTCTGTGTTTCAAGGTTCGTTGCTTGTGATCGTAATTATGATTGACGGCTGCGAAAAACGCAATTGTGAAGGCGGCAGAGTTCGTATGTTTGTGAAAAGCGCAGTAAAAATAATAAAAAAATATTCATATAGCGCTTATTACTTTTCAGTACTAAACGCTGTTTAAAAATCCATATAAAAAATAAAAATCCTAGATTAATTAACATGTAATTTTTACATTGGAGCAGAAACAAAAAATAAATAGGCAGATCGTTCCAGAGTACAGGGGTAATGACTGAAAACTCCCTCGGAGACCGTATGTCTTTAAGTTATGGGGTTCAAAAGCATATCGCCACTTGTCAGAAGATGAGCGGAGGCACCACTACCAATATGGTATCTTAATTGTCTTTAAGTTACAAATAATGAGGAAAGCGAAATGAGCGATTTTTGTCCGAAAAATTTTTAAGACTCTTTAAAAAGTCAGGGTTTGAAAGCCTCGGTGGCACACCTCTACCCACGCAAACTTCCCGCTAAATTCACAGTTAAACGTGCTGGAATTATTCGCAGCAGATGTTAATTTTGACTTCCACAGTTCCAATACTTTAATCTCACCATGAATCGACTAAATGAAAATTCCAATTATTTTATCCAACATCGGGTCAGGGAAAAACAATGAAATATCATCAATGAGCTGCTTAATCAGCTCTTCGACTAAAGCCAGTTACGGCCAAAAATGGCTGAAGCTTACGTAACTGATTTTGAGTCCAATATGTATTTTAAGATACTTCTTGAGGGTTTACTTGAGTCTCTGAATAAAGTTCTCGAGTTTAAATATTCCAATATAATCTGCTGCTTAGTAGCGTTTTTACCACTGACATTCCTCTTAAACTGTACAAGCCCTCTTACAACTTTTATGCAACGAGCTGATCGTTACAGACAACATTCTTTAAAAATTTTGACCAACAGACGTATAGGAAACATTTGAATATTACCGTTGTTCATCAGAGACCCCTAGCCTCTACACCTTATTGTATAACAAGCAATGACCATCTCTTCTAAATACACAGTGATTTCAGGGAGTTATAATAATTGCTCTAGTGGGGTAATTTAACTCCTTACAGTGGAGTTATTTATTTATTTTTTTTTTTTTGGGGGGGGGGAATTATTTTAACACCAAAAAGGAGTTTAAAGAACTCTTTTTCTGGAGTAAATGTCACTCCGGGTATTGAGGAGTTAAAATAACCCCAAAAAAGGAGTTATCCTGTACCTAAAATTTTTACTCCACTTCCAGAGTTAAAGTAACTCCAAAAAGAGTAAAAACATCTCATGTACCCCATCAGTTTTCGGAGTTTTTTCACCTCCAGAAAAAAAGATCTCTTTTTCAGGAGTAAAAATGACCCCAGATTTGGAGTTAACTTAGGAGTTAAAGTAACACCATAAAAGGGGTTATCCTTTACCTAAAACTTTTACTCCTTTTTTGGTGTTATAATAACTCCCTAAAAATTGCTGTGTACAGCTGTAGCAGTAGTATAAAACTCAGCTTTGCAGTAGACTATTTATTCGAACGTGTGTTTAGGGTGCCCTGGGGCAGGAAAGTAGAAATATTACTTTTCCCGAGACGTCAATTAACAAGACACTGCTATTAATGGGCGAGTATGAGGAGAACTCGCTATTAAACTTTGCAGCTCCACGAGTATGCGTGCAGGCGTATTTTGTTTATGTTAACTTTCAGCCACATTAGTACCCGCCTTCTAATCTTATTGCTTGCTTGCAACACAATATACTACAGCTTGAATTAAGAGTTAGATAGTAAACCTTTTTCCGAATATTCAATATATGAACAAAACACAACTTTAAACAATGAAAAAAATTTGAATCCTATTGAAATCATAACGCATTGTAGCTTCTCAAGTATTCGCGTCGACTACTTCAGTTTACTTCTCCCAGGATTTTACACTTTCAGTTGGTTTGGTATTGTGGCAGCTGGGTTAAATCGAAATTTATTGACAAAAGTTCATTAAATTTTCAAGTTTTTTTCATTTTAGTTTTTTAATGTATTTTAGTTGTTGCATTTTAGTTTAGTTGTTCTAATTTTCAAAAGGGCCCTCTTTGATATCAGCACTTCATACTAACCCTGAGGTTGCTCTGGCCGAAGAACATATTATCATAATAATATTTCATAATGATAATAATAATACAATTATTATTTATAACATAGCGCGCGTGCTTGCCCTATATAAGTCCTATTGAGCCGCTATGAACAAAATCTTTATTTACGCACGGGCGTGCGTAAATAAGATGACGTGAGCATTTTTTTTTTTACCTGGCTGCAAAGTTGTCGTCTTTCAAGCTGTAGTGCACTTTTCCTTCTCTTTAAAATATGGAAGAAACCAGCGAGGAACTGCCCAATTTTTCTATCGGCATTGACCTTTTAGGTCCTGATCCAACAAGCAGAAAAAATAAAGCAGAATTTAAAAAAAACTCGCAAGTTGCGCGCTGTTCGCAAATTTGTCGAAGACCAGCTGCAGCAAATTTTGGCCGAAAGACATTCACTGGGAACAGAACAGACACCAACTGGTCATCAACAACACTTAAAGGCAAAATTTCCGTTCTTATTGTTGTTTTTAAATTTGTTGTGCACTTTGTTATCTCTGGACAATCCGACTGAAGCAGGAAAATTTCTATCGCAATAACAACACAAATTACACAAGAAGACACAAATTTATTACTCACAAAAACAACTGCTGCCAGGTCTTCTCAAGAAGCCGTAATGACCAGCCAATGTTCGTAAATGAATATAAGTTTAAAGAAGGATGACAGTCGTCTTCGCTAACATGTTTTCTGGATTTCGCCGAGCAAAACGTAGACATCTTTTCAGCAAACAGAGCAAATCCAAACCATACTCCACGACTTCTTATGAACATGTTAGTTTTAACTTTAGGTGAACTTTAAGACTCTTTTACCTTTGTTTCTGCTTAGTTTCCATTGATCGTTAACGAATAAAGAAGCAAATTTTCTTTCTCACTTTTACAGAAAGAATATTTTCATTCAAACTAGACGATTGTGGCGTGTTCGTAATCAGCCAATAGAACCGTTTGTTATTGTGTCGCGCGTTACGAGAATTTTGCAGTTAATCAAAAAGCAAGCATTATTGTGAGCTATGTTATAAAAGAATTTGCTCATGCTTTTAGCTGTGCGTATATCGAGTTATGGATGCACTTGGGAAGTTTGGAGAGCACTCAAGAAGCTAGAGTTGCACTCGGCTATCGCCTCGTGCAACTCTTACGCATCTTTCGTGCTCTCCAAACTTCCCGCGTGCATCCATAACTCGATATACGCACGCTAAGCATGAACAAATTCTTAATTTTATTATAATTATTATTATTATTACAGTCATCATCATTAATCCACTACTTGAATCACAGTTATAGGCATTACAGATGACCTTCTGGAACGTGTCGGCACGGACTGAGGAACTTGTTTTATCATTCCGGCTTCCGTCTCAACATTTACAATTTCTCTAGAAGGCTTCCGTCCGAATTCCTGTTTATATAGTACTTCCCAATCCCTTCCCTGAAGGAGTTACTAAGTTAACCCTTACTTCAAGTTTTGTTTGATACGTCCAGTTACTGCAGAGAAGCACGTCTTTCACAACAACAAACCGTTATCCAGATTTGAAACAAAAACCCAGGCTTCTCCAAGATTTCTCAACATGTTTGAGGAAAATTCCAGCTTCGATGAAAGTCGAGGTATGATCTCTATGCTGTATTAATTTACTTTGTTTGCCATGCAAGACTTAATAATTCGCCGGTTATAACAATTTCAAACAGATTCTATCGATACTAACTGGCGAGTGTCCTTTATCATACCTGTGTGTCTTTGTACCAGCGGGCTCTTAGTAAAAAGGCCATCACAGAAACATGCATGCTGTTTTTCGATAAAGACGAAAGCAGACATATATATCATCTAAGAGAAAACGTTATTCAATTTCAGAACTGTAACTACGTATACAATCAAGTTCATCCTAAAGAAACCTCACGATCATTTATCATAGTCTGGGATTAAAATTTCATTTTAAGTAGTATCTTAGAAACTCGAAAAATGGAATTCGTTACTGAACTTTGTACTGACCGGCTTTTAGTTTGAGACTCAGCCGTGTGGACTGAATATTAGTCATTCGCCGTTTCTGTTATAGGTTTTTACTGGTAGGACATTCAGTCATAGACAGTGCGCAGATAAACAGTGTCCGCAAATCGGGGTTGACGACTGATATGAGAATTTATTGAGACCCGGGTCACAGGAAAATACCGGCGTTGTCCTTATAAACCGGTGTCTGTGAACGTACATGTATGTCTTGAGCTTTTGTTGGGACAAACAAAACTGTCCGAGAGACACGGGTGTCCGTATTAAGCGGTTATCCTTAGAGGGGTTTTCACTGTATTTGGGGGTGAATACTAGCATGGAACTGCCAGCAAACAAAAAGGACTTAACATGTTCTACTACAGTTGCTTGTTATAGCGTCAATGTAGCAGGGGCACCCAACGAGAATATAGTTCAAAACTACTTAACATAGCATTGTTGAACGTATTTTAGTATTCAAACGGTAGATATATATTTTTATCCCCTAAAAACTTTTCATCTGTTCGGATTTCCTAGCTGAAAGTCTAGTGATCCGAAAATTATAGGGATATTAAACTTACCTTCTCGAAAATTTCAGCCAGGAAAAGGCTCCCGAAAATTCTAGGTGGTCTTTTTTAGGGTCAAAATCCGTTAAAAATGGGTAATTATACTATTTTGTAGATGTTTGAAAATCCTAGGAGAGGCAGGCAAGCAAGAAATTTTGCAACAAATGCTCCGAAAATTCTAGATCACAAATCGTCTTCCGAACAGATATTTTCCCGAAAATTGCCGTTGGGTGCCCCTGATGTAGGGAAAATGGAAATAAGGGAGAAGTAAAAATACAGTTACAGTGGAATCCGGTTAATACGGCACCAATAGGACTGCCATTACATTACTACTAAGACTTGCTATGAGGCAAGACATAGGCCATTCATTCTAAAGTGTGGTACAGTGCAACCTCGATATAACAGAGGGCCCGAAAGGACTGACAAAATTTGTTCTCTATAAAGAGGTTTTGTTATACAGTGGAACCTCGATATATCAGAGGGCCAAGAGACTGACAAAATGTGTTTGCAATAACAAGGTTTTGTTGTACAGTGAAACTTCGATATAACGAAGGGCTGAAGGACTGACAAGATTTGTTCGCTATAACGAGGTCTCGTTATATCGAGTTCTTTTCCGTACATTTTATTGATACTGGGGTAAAGAAAATTGTTTGTTATACCGAGGACTTCTTCGTTGTCTGATCGAGGTTCCACTGTATACTAGCTAAGTTCTTATTTACTTCATTTACTTTAAATGTGACCAAAATTATTCTTTCAGCCATCATTTCCGTCAGGAAGTTGTATTTAGTCACGTGTGAAAAAAAAAAACATTAAAACAATACTCAATAGACCGGTCTTTGAAGCATGTTTTAGATCTCATAAAAGAAACTGTTAATTTGTTCTCTTCACTGAAAATTGCCAATCGATACGTTATGATTGGAAGGAGCAGACTGCAAGAAGTTTTTGCTGCTGGAAACAGCTGTGGAGATATCCTCATGTAGTTCTAGAACATTCAGATAATGATTTACTCATAATACGAGAATAGCTACTGTCAAGGCAAATTATAATCAAATTCATGACAACGCACATAATGAAAATTGCTTGCTAGTGTTAGCCAACATCCTGACTGACAGGAAGCGATGTGTATTAGATTTTTAAGTACGGACGTCACGATGTATGAACAATTAACGAATGATCCAAAGTAAGTGACAAAGGACACGACTAATCGTATTTCACTTAGTATAGTTCCAATTACTCCCCAACGACCAAGTTGTGATCGATAATAAGTGTTAAGTGAGGACAAGTGAAATAGATAGCAAACAATCAGTTTTGAGATTAAAACGGTTCAACGTCGGTCCAAATTTTAATGGCAAACATTCGAGTCTATTAAAAGCGTAGGAGTAATACAAAAACAAGTGAAGGTCACTCTGGAAGGTCCGGGGCCGATAATATCGATAAAAAAAGAAAACCAGTACACTTAACCTTCTTTAAATAGATATTATGTATCGAAACTGCTCGTTATTTTGTATCCTACGCTCTACGCCTTTTGTTTTGGAAGAATAGAAATAGAGACAAAGAAAAGCACCCTTGTTCGCGGGGAAATGGAACCACCTGAAAATTAGATGGAGAATCAGTTTTTTTTCCTTTAATTCTTAACCAAAAAGATTTTGGAACCAAAGGTTGATTAATCAATTTCAAAATCTACTATATCGAATTTATACATCACACTTAGTGTGTGGCTATATTCAAATAGGATACAGCAAAGAACCGCTCAAAACAGTGGCGGGGTTGTTCTTAACAAGATAGTTTTTACATTCCGTTGTTCCTGCCTTGAAATTTTGACAATAAATCGCGTAGTCTCCATTGAAAGCTACTTCTTCTGTTTTGAACGGTATTTTCCAGTAGTTTCAAAAGGCTTCGATACCATTTCGATTTGTGGGCGGAGAAATCAATTCAAAATCCATAACCACGATATGTGTCTGTTTGTGTAATTTGTATCACGCCCACGTTAATATCAGTTCCGCCGCGGGCAAGGCAGCTAAGAAGTTTTAGTAACGGGGAAAACATGTAACCGTGACACATGAAACCATCAAATTTAAATGCCTGACTGGCATTTTTCTCAACTGCACCAGAAAGTGGAAAATACTGTGTGAATTTCGTCCACAAACTCAAAAGATTAGCGAGGTAAATAAGAACATTTCAGGAAAAAGCTCTTGACTTATTTCTATTCCAGTCACGGAGTGACGTTGTGCAGGGTCAAGGATAAAACCGCAGTAATGTGACGACAAATGCAACATTCCATACATGAAAAAAAAGAAAGAAAAAAAGAACATCACGAGTTTTGCGTTTGGTGGGTCTCAAGACCTCTAGCAAAAACCATACGATTAAGCCACATTTTCAAACTCCGAATCCTATATTCTAAAGACTTGAATCGCGCTTGTGCAGTCACACCTATACCCTAAAAGGGAGTAAACTCCATTAAGTCCATTAAAGGCTCTCTCGTGCTTGCGTGTCGACGTTACTGGAAACTGTACATGTGGCCCGATGTTGCCTTCGACGTTACGCTCGTTTTCCCTGACTAATGAACTGCAACATTAGCATGTTTTGATAAAACAACTTTAACGCTCTTTATAAAAAGTTAAGGCGTTTGTTGTGACGTCACGAGTTTCTCGTGACAGGTTACATTTGCTCCAAATGAGCCAAGCACCCCTGAGGCGAAAATTACTTCCAATAATCTTCGTGAAGCGGGAAGACTTCATTGATAAAAGAACTCGCTTCTCCAAAAGTCCGCACTTGGAAGAAACTGTGGCTTACGGAGGGCACGCTTAAGGAGGTTCCACGGCATAACGAAATCCTGATGTCATCTTTTGAAGGATTCGGTCGAGGTAAGAAGCGGTTTCTGGCGTAAGCAATGAGCAGATTCCTAAACTAATGATGAATCCAAGAAACTACAGTATGTTCGGTTGATTGATACAATAATGTGCACAGCACCCTTGGCAACACACAACGGCCACCTTGGGGGACAGACGAAAGTGGCCTTTGTAGAGAGGTTTAAATAAGAGTCAATGTATAGACTGTCCGCCAAAAAGTGGCCGCTGTAGAGAGATAGCCGTTAGTATAAGTTCGACTGTATTTCAAATTCCCAATAGAAATAATATTTTCGTATTTTGTTTCCTCCGGAGACAGGACTGCTTTCCGGCTAAACAATATACCCTTTCTACGAGGCCCTGGCAGTGGGGGTCCCATGTCGCCCGTCTGAATTTTAAAACGTCTCCTGATCTTGTTTGTAAATGCTTGTCGCTTATTGTCGGCTTTGCCGTCACTGTCGCAATTTGGCCGAGGGAGGTTGTCTCTTGTCGCGATTTCATTTTACGCGCTGTCGCTACTTTTTGGGCCATGTCGCCTGTCGGAATTTACCCTGGCAGGGACAGTCTACTACGGGTGTATCATCTCTAGCGTTTGGACCAAAATCAGTTGATAATAAGAAGGGCTTCGTTTTGTACTGTATTAACACGTATCAGTTGGGTGTCAGTGAAATAACTACTTATTTCTGTGTGGAATGGTTCACGCACTTTTGCTAAATTGAGATTACATAACTTACAAAAAACATTATTTGTTTTGTCTAGAAATCAAAATTAAAGGTAGAAATATATAACAAAACACTTGACCTATCCACATTCATTAAAAGCTATCATGCAACAACGTAAACTTTCAAAGGTTATTTACGAAATTAAACTCGACTTGCGTATAAAAATAGTCATACAAATCGATAAAAATATATAGTTATATTAGCTATGACGCGAACATAAATCACTTGTTGATCCATAATTGCTGATCAAGCAGGTTGCTAATTTTCCCCAGAGTTTCTTATTATAAACCACTATACCAGTGACGTCCTTGTCAGCCATGTGCGAGTTCTAGATCGCTAGCATGCTTTTCGTAAATTCCTGTATTGATTAGCGCTGTTTAAGCAAAGATTGCCTTTCTCAGATTGCCGCCCGGCTTTGTTTCTCAAAGAGCTGAAATGTATTGTGGACAACGTTTTCGGAAGCGATCAACCTTTGTATTTGCATGATCTCTCCCTGTTTGTCAAGGTTACGTATTGCTAATTTTTTTCCGGAGTTTCTTAAACTACCAGTCTTCATTGTTACTTATGTGCGGGCCTAGCTATAGAAGTCTTGAATGATTTTCAGAAATTTCTGTTTTGAAGCGCTGTATAAGGAAAGTCTGCCTTCTCAAATGGTCGCCCTTTAGTTTGTCAAAGGGCTAAAATGTATTAAGGACAACGTTTTCTAAAAAGATCAACCTTAGTATTGGCTCTTACCAGCTTGCAACAAGGTTACATATTTTCTACCTTTCAGCTTCATCTACAGGATCAAGCTTAGACGGTAGTGTTGATGAGCTTAATGAACAAGGAATACCCAAAGGCTTGGAGAGTAGACGAGAAACCCGATTCAAGAACATAGTACACTTGTGGGAATTCCTGCTGGAACTTTTGGCAAATGAAAACTGCCGTTCACTAATAACTTGGAGCAATAAGAGTCGCTGGGAATTTAAGATAAGAGACCCAGACGAAGTGGCAAAAAGATGGGGGCAGTATAAGAGAATAAAGAAGATGACATACGACAAGCTAAGCAGAGCGTTAAGGTATTATTACACGAAAGGAATTATATCAAAGGTACGTTTGGTTGCAAAAAAAAGTAGCACTGAATCATGATACCACGGAGTACTAAATCGGCTGAATATCACTGAAGATCATGTTGTTCTAAATTGTTATCCCAAAGTTCAAGTTCAATTATTCACACTTATTAAGTTACAATACAACAACAATAAGAAAAAAAAAGAAGTAAAAACAGAGCCAACTATACGGCATTGAATTAAACATAACAAAAAAAAAAAGTGCGTAGCAGCCAAAGGAGCCGTGATTTCGAGTTGGCTACTACCACAGAGCGGTTACAAGTGGGTGGAGTACGCGTTAAACTCTCCACCCGTCATCTTGAACCATGAACCATCCCCAGTCATGTTTGCAGATTTTTCGTGGTACAGCACAAAAGATACTAAATTCGATGTTGAGTATCACAGATTCGGAATATCCTGTAAAAAAAGAACAGGTTATAATACCAATCCGAAGATATTTTTGAGTGCGAAATTTTGTAATCAAAAAAGGGAGGCTGAACACAGTTTCCCTAGAAATGCTTTATCCCCTACCGTGCACTTGAACATCTTTTAATGAGGACATGTGCAGCCGACAAGCTTTTAAAGAAAAAAAGTGCGAGGACGAGCTGAGGAAATTGTCCAGAAGTTGTCATTAGAATTGTTTCCTGTTTTCGTCGCCTTTGACAATAGCGCTTTATACTATTACTAAAACACCTTAGATCCCCCGCGTGACTCAGACAAACTTTGCATTCTTTTCCAAGGCTTTGTATGGGAAACATACGTTTCCGACACGAAAATTGTTCAAAAAATTCGCAGTGAGCGTTTTTAAAATGTTTTTTGAGCATAATTCCAATATATAAAAGGCAGTACTGCTATTGGGTGCAAAACCTGGTCTAGTAACTCGAATAAATGGTTAAAATCAGAAAATAAAGTCACTCGATCAAAGAAGGCTACTGAAATCGGATCCCTAGCTCTCTGTCTTAGGCAGAAAGTACCGCTATGCACTGAAACATGACATAGCATTATTGGCTGTGTAATACTCCAAAACCGAAATTGCTAAAGAAAAAATCGAGTTTGGATGTGCTTCTAGCAAGCCTGTGACAGAATATCTGAGGTGAAAAGCACACCAATATTAGCACAAACCGGAAATTTTTGTTGTGCGGCCAGGTAGACCATATGAATCTGCGCCAAATACTTTAGTAGTTTATATCTTGTAGTACTAAGTAGCGTAACATAAGCATTCGAAAAACAAATTGAGGAATCTTTGCCTATAAATTTAACCAAATGCACCGTTTCACGCACGGCTATGAAGCCCTACTCTCCACACATTTTAACATAATTTTACCCACAGCATTAGGACGCCGCATAAGAAATAAAACCACTCATCTGTACAGTTTTTTCCACGTTTAACGCTGTCTTGGCACGAGTTGATTATTTTCACGATATTTATTATCGAAACCAAGCTGGATTTTGTTTCCTTTAACGATAAACATCTTCAAAGACGACGAAAATTTGTTGCCGAACATGACTTTCCCATACTAAACTCTTACACTGGTCAGGTTTAATGTCTGAGTCACAGCAGGGACCAGAAATTTGTGACGTCATTAGTAGAAAGCGCTCTTGTAGCATGATCTCAACGCGCACAAGTCTATTGGAAGCAATATGAGAGCTCTTGTTTTGTTAACTTTCAAGATAGGCGTTGTAAATAAACGACAATCTCTTAAAATCTACACCTTAAAATGTGACGAAATTTGGTAGAAATAATGTTTCTTTCCCTTTCTAATATAATCAATGAAAGCCTCAAAACAATTCTAAAACTTTTTAACAATTTGGTTAAGTTGTTTTTGCGTAAACCTCATCAATTTTGGTTTGTTTCAGTTCAATTATCCATGTTGCCTTGGCAACGATAGAAATTTTACGTTCAATCTTTTAAAAGTAATAGATGTATTTTGTCTGTGTCATATTTCAGTGAAATTTATGCTAGCACCAAGTCTTAAAAACACCCCAATGTTTGGTATTAAAATGTTCCACAACGTATCAAACTGTGTTCGGCCACCTTAACATTTTTTTTTTTTTCTTTTTTAAAACTTTGGTCCGGGGCACAAATCCTTCTGTCTTAGAATTCAACTGACGTTCCAACAGTTCTTTTGCATACTGGCACTTCTTGCTTTTGGGAATTTACAGCTTGATTAAAAAATAAAATGAATCGGTAAAACTTTTATTTTTTGTGTTGAATTGATTCTGGTTTTAACAAAAAAAAAAGCTGAGAGAAAGAGAGATACACCTTGAAAGAAATATCGAGAAATGTTTTGTCGTTAACCCGGCTTTTTCAACAGCCAAGGGCATTAGTTAAGTTACTTCTTTACGTCATGCTCGAATACTTGTTTATTCCGATGTACGGTATACAAGGCCATAAAGCGGTGCAAGATCCAGGGCCACTCATTTGGGGTCAAGCAAGTTGAATCAGTAAAGCCTCCTTTATCACTCGGCTTTTATCTTATACTGTTTTTAATAAAATACCTGGATATCTTGATGCTTAGTTCGATATTCATGTGCCTTTGAATGATGTAGATCACTGTAGTTAAGTGTGTCTAAGAGCTTGTGTGCACGCACACCAAACGTTCTACAACGGTTTCTATCACAAAACTGTCCTCGGTGATGTTTCGTAGTGAATGTCACCACAAAATATCAGATGGTTGAGCCTACTCTTATCTCCCCCCTCAATCTTACTGAAGCCGAACCCTTGACTTTCTCTATATTTATTTGCGGCCAACGAAGGCTCGGAGACATGACTTTCTTTGCTGTAAACTATGGTGTACAGATAGGGTGAGCCGACAAAGTTTATGAATCAAACAAAGTTATGTTATGAATACACACCGATGGGTAATATATTTTTGTTTCTTGAAGGTTCAGAATCAAAGGCTGATGTACAGGTTTCACAAGCTGCCCTACAAATACGAACCAGGCGTAACCCGCTCACGATACCATGGACAAAGAATCAGGGCATGTTTAGGACAAAATGGATCTGGCGTCACGGCGTCACAGCTTGACAATCATGAGACCAGCACATCATTTGGGCACCTCATTGTAAATATGAATCCTTACATTGTGGATCATCAAGTGAGAGCAGTCTATTCAGCCCCTCCCATGACAGACAATGACTGGCCAAGCGAATTTACTTGCGTTCCGGATCACGTCGGGCTAAGAAGATTTTCGTGGTCGTTTCCTCAAACACCGACTCCTTCGTATTCTACACTGTGGAATCCAGGCCCCGAGCTTCAAACGCCACCATTCTATGGAAGGTCGAAAATCATGTTCCCCAGTGTCAACAATGCTGGATTGCAACCAGTTAAACTAGTTGGACAAGATAATTCAGGTGTTCATAAGGCAGGAACAATAGCATCGTCAATCCCGGTGTCTGTAATCAAACGTATCTAAAAGCCTAAGATGGACTCCGCTTGTTGGTTTGTAACCAACAAGCGGTGTTGGTTGACTTTCAACCAATATGGCCGCCGTAATGTTAGCTGTAATACAGCAATTCAGGTTTCATTGTAATTTTGCTCAAGTGTTAATACAAAATGAAGTCAAAGGAAAAATCAGTTTGTAGTTTGTAGATTGTGTAAATTAATATATGTAGATAGAAAAGCTGTAAACTGGGATATTTTGGCATGATATTTAATAATGAGTAATCTATAGGAGTCGATAAACAAAGTTTTTCTTTTTTAACAACAACATATAACTTTATGGACAGACTTAAAGTCTAAAACCAATACCAATCCTAACCTATTATATCACAGACAAGGGCGATTTTAACCGTTTTTACGGTATAAATAACGTTATCGTATCGGTTGCCATATTAGTTACCCGAATCATTGCAATGCTTATCTTGTACTTACAGTGACGCCCCCTCACGGCCTTACGTTCGATTGTCTGTATAATTACCAACCATACATTTATATACTCATTCTTGTATTATTACCTTCCAAACATAAATCTCTTGATCAAAAAATAAAGGACAAACAGTGGTGATAAACATTGCGAACTTTGGCATTTGTATGATAGACTTTTCGTATGCTAGTCAACATACATTTTCAAAAGTGATCTAACGTTACCGTTACAGATTATGACGAGACTATATACACAAAATTTTGAATATGGGGACATTGAATATATAGGGGAACTGGGAGTATTTAATAAAAGGGTAAACCATCTTTCAGTCAGTGTCCATTAAAATGACCTGCTGTAAACGGCTGTACAACATTCCCAAATACTTTTGTCAGGGATTGTAGTTACAACACCTACCAAGTTGTAAATGGAACAGTTTCACCTCGTTAAAATAACCCAAACATATTTATACAGAATTAATAGAGACACAATGATTTCCCCCTACCCCTGAGAGATTTTCTAAAGACGACCAACAGCCAAGAGAAATCCCCTGCCCCAGGTCCCCTGCATGCTTTTCGATCTAAAGCACCCTCCCCTAGTATTTGCATGTGGGGGGCTGCCGGACAAGTGATTTGAATTAGGGAGGGTGAGGATACTTATCCCCCCGAGCACTCCTGCCTTCGCCGTCCCTTTTACTTTTTGTTATTACTACGAGGATCCCTACGCTTGTGTCGGGGGAATTATGCCCCATCTTTCTAGATGTATTAACCTACACTACGTTCAAATGACATCAAGGTGATTGGTTTTTCATTTTGAAACGCACTAGATTTTTATCTATATCCAAACTTCCCAAGCTGTGCAAACCGTGGAGACGGCGAGTTTTAGTTTCGATGTACAAGGAGCAATAATTTTGAAAGAATTATCGAAGCAGGAAGTTTTGTTTTTCATTTGAGTATAACGGATGTCTTTCACACTACTGGCCAGCCAACGAGGCCAGGCACGTCATGCCAAGTGCATCTCTTAAACTATGAGTTTCGTAATGGTTTGAAACAATAGACCTCTTTTCGGTTCCTCCTATTGCACACCCAACATGGTGTACTCTAGCGAACAGTTCATTAAACTCCATGGAATTCACCGCAGTGACGTTCCTATATATATATATATATATATATCTATATTAAGCACAAATATGATACGAAAAAAGGCAGATGCAATTAAGGACGTTACGTAGAGACATTGGGAAAACACACCCAGGAAAAAGAGGTCATAAGCTCTTGATTTTAATATATTTTCTTTAATATCAGGTTTAAATTTCAGCTGAAAATCAAACATTCCGTAGAACGTATTTCGTAGAACGTAAATTCTACTGGAATATTTGTAAAACAAGTGAGCAATTCAAAACATACAGATCATGTTCTGAACATTCTACTGCTCAATAATTCACATTGTACCATATCTATATTTTTATTTATTATATTATACTACCAATTTAAGCATGGCCAAACAAGGAGGGAAGGAAATAGATGAACATTGTTTGAAAATGTCAATAAATGTGTGACATCCATATTAGGCATGTTTCAAAAGTGTTTTGACACAGCTGATTGCGAAGCGGAACTGAAACCAAAACGAACATAAAAAGCCCGGAAGTTCTATTATTAAATGGTGTTCCGGTAAATAGGTCCGCCGGAAAAATGATTAATCGAAAATTCACGACATCCCTTGACTACCATAAAAACATCCTTCATGATTAGCCATCTATATGATAACACTTTGAACTCGTTTAAGTTATGATTTAAATAAAACTCAAATTTCACATCATAAAATAAAAACCTTAGTAAATAAAGTCATATTTGAGCTCCAGTTTGCCTTTTTTTCTCTGAGTATTTTTGCCCTTAAGTTTTCACTAATAATTGTATATACTCAAAACTTAATCGTTTTCTGTTTTTATCTTTTTTGCACTGTGTAATTTGAGCATTAAACAGTCAGTTAATAAAGGGTTGGACAATATTCAAGACTGGAAGGAAGCGTAAAGCTAAGCTTTCAGAACAACTCTTCGATGGGAAGTACGATGCTGTTAACGGGAAGAAGTCTCCGATTTCAAGTTAACGGAACTTTATAGGAGTTCTGTTAATACGACAAAAAAATCGGAATATTAAGTTTAAGCTTTAAACTTTTATCGTGTCTAAATACACGACGAGACTCCTTCGCTTAGTCACAGCCAAGAAGCAACTAATTAAAAGATTAAACTGAAGAAAATAGGGCTATACAATCGTTTTATCGTGAGAATATTGGTTGTGAACGTTTTTTGACAGTCAAAGATCATTAAGGGCAACTGATTACTTTATTTTCATAAACACGTTACAAGCATTCAAAGTGTTCCATGATGGTTATGATATCCTAAACTAAATTGATACTGATTATGATCCTCTCCCCCTCGATTCTGTATTTTTCCAAAGCCGACTTATGCACATGGATCGTCTGGAAATTTTCACTACTTCATTTCTGTTTTGGTTTCTGGAATTTAGTAAGCTGTAGTAAACTTGTCCATCAGCAATGCGGAACTTTTTGGTTTTTTAATTAAGGGGTGAAGTTTGCAGCCTGGGTTTTTCATTGTTTAACCCTGAACTCGGCAACAATTGTGAAACTTTGCCAACTCGCTCTCGATCTTTCTAACGGGCAATAAATTTTTGTAAGTATAAACGAAAACGAAACAGCCAGCACCACGCCATTTTTTGATAATATCGTCAAGTATCTGATGTGAAAGAGTGAAAAGCAAAACATGTGAGAATATATGGGATCACCATTTAAGAGAGTTCCTTAGTCCTGCAATTATATATGTCTTAACCCAAACAATATCATTGCCTTTTGACACTTCTTTCTGTCGATACAAAAGCGAAGTAGTGGACTGTTTGATGGAATGTAGGGAGATTGTACAAGGATGTATCTTTAAGTAAACTGATGAATCGCAGTTTACTTTTTAACAAACTCAACATATTAAATTTCCGGGTAGCTAACATCCACAAACTACATTCATATCTCTTGGAGGCTGGGATCAGGGCACTGAGTGTCTGCATACAAGAGAGACTTAATCCATGCATCAATATTGGGAGAAGTTCTAGTGTCAGTAAAATCAGAACATAATCAGGACAAAAGATTATGACATCAATGTTACGATCCCCTGAGTGAAATTACATTGATCTTTAAATAAATCTCTCAAGCATATAGCTAAGGAAATTTATGGAGACTAGAAAAGACAATTTTTTTTGTGGACTTGGGGCTAAATGGGTTAATGAAAATGAGTTACACACTGGGAATGGCAGGACTAAGTCGTTTTAAACCGTCGTTTTAGGACTCTTAAGCCGAGTTAAGGTTACGTGGCAGAGATGACTAACTCTAACTTTCAAACTTTTAAACGAAATTATGTGGTTCAGTCGCATTCACATCAGTGAAAACTCTTTGGGAAAACTTGTAACAAAGTACTATTTAATGTTTATTTCTTAGTATTTTTCTTTTTTTTTTTTTTAAAAAAAAGGGCCACTGATAGAAGTTGTAGCGTTAAGTGCGTTTATAGGCTAAATCCGTTCAAGTGAAAACTAAACAAAAAAAAAGCGAGTTCCTGTCGTTCAATTGTGCGCGTGTTCCTATAAAATAAATGCAGTATCAAGCAGTTTATCAATATACAATATTTGACACAGGAACACAGCTGAAGAACGTTCACATCACGCGACTTCCTGTTCCCATTCACTCAAAGTGTACAACTTGCTGATTTGACTCCAGCTCAGAACGCTATCGACAGAGGAGCGGACGACATGCCAAAAATAGGTCCTTTTACCAAAGCTAATGAATTTAAAGGTATGAGTTTTGTTTTAAGCTGTTTGCAGTTAAGTTCTGAAAACGGAATCGAATATAATCCCATATGGGTTTCATGAATTGGGTAACTAACTAAACGTCGTTCGTTCATGACCATGGCAAAGTCGTTATTTTAGCTTCTTTTCTTTATTTTTCGGAGTTAGTTAAGATCTTTAAATCACAAATTGCAAGGCAAAGTATTGTCGAGAGACTCCCAGCCACCCAACAACCTTAGCTAACCATTTCTGATCGCTCTTAAACATCAACTTATTTTCTTCAGATAGAGATAAACTAGAAATTAAAAATTCGGAGGGCGTTTGTTAGCTTTACACAAATGCAATCCCTTTTAATCTTACCATGTTTAGCCCATCCATGACCACTTTAAGATTTGCCATATTCATATTTGGTTCTTCTGTAGTTTGAAGATGTTATTTCAGTTGATACAGTGTATTACTGGTAATATGATAATGACCAGTTGGCAAATCTTTAAATTGACAAAATTGCAAACTGCAAACATTGCTAATTAAACATGACCAATTAGCACCTTTAACCTTTCAGGCTTAAACAAATACACACAAAAGATTTATTGCGTCTGTGGTAATAATAATAATATAACCGTGAAAACTTCTCTTGATATAGCCATTTGAAGTACATCAGCGTCTTACAGTACATTTGGTGCCAAAGTGGCAGTTTAATTTATAAAACGCACATTAGAGAAACTTTTCGAATCGAATTAAACCTTTGTTCGCAGATGGATGATTTAGTGATGATTTTGAGTCGTGGACGAAATATTCTGGGTGTGACACTGAGCTTTCACTATGAAATGAAAACTGTCCTTCACAGGCAACCCTAACTAGGCTTCTATTAACAGTTCTTTTTCTTTAGCAGCTGAATGTATGAATGAATCATGACAATTAGACAATTTATGGTGGTGTTGACTGAATATAATACCTCCAAAGCGTAACAGACAAAATCGCCCGTAAGGTTTACCTGTGTAGCGGCAAAGTATGAAGTCTCGCGAGTCAAACGTCAAAGCGCGAAAAAGCTGGGCGAGGTTCAACTTTTACGTTTATGCTGACCTTTAGTACATCACGCTTATTTTATTCAAGCACGTAAATTTTATGAGCGTGGGAACGTAGACATTAAGGCGTAGTGGAAATTCAAACATAGGGAAATGCTTCAGGAATTCAGCTTTTTGAACATAAACTTTGTTTAACTCAATATTGTGATTCTGGTGAGCGTTTGTCACCCAATCACAACATTGTCGTGAGGATAGAAGTTTGGACATTGGCAATTGTGAAGAGTTAAAACTCATTTAAACTTGGTCAAAACTGTCTGGGAACGTTCTAAGTATTGTATTCTGATCTGATAATATGACTGTCTGAAACCAAGGTATTATAGTACATTGTTAATGTGACTGTCTGAAAACCCAGACACTTCATCATGCTACATTGTTGTAACGATGTTGTTAAGAGTATAAACTCGTTACAACCGTGACTTGTTCAGACCATTGTCATCACGTTCTATTTTGTTTTCTAATGATCCGATTGTTTAACTCACAATCTGAATTGTTGTGAGAATATTGTTGGATGTCAATTTGATAAAACTTAGTTAATATGTAATTTTGTTCTCGAAATGTTAAAGCAGCTTGCACCCATTTAAGAGCAGCGTAACCCTGGATGATAGACATGTTTATTGATTCTTGTTAGTCTGGCGGACATTTAAGTGATTACTTCTCCCAACATCACACTCAGATCTCTCAGCATTCTCTTAGTTATCAAATGTCGTGTGGAGAACTGTGAATCGTACTCTTCACATAGGCTTTCAACAAATATAATGAGATTGTAGAGACGCATTCTTAACGCCGATTGTTTACCTTCGGCGTGAATTACAAATACAATCATCTTTATTTACAGTGCCAGGTCAAGCGTACCCCCTTGCATGGATTCGGTTATTGCGCTCATCATTTGAAACTTAAATCTGTTACTTTAGTTGCCAATATCAGATATATTACTTGACTTTCAGTTGCATATGTCACTGGTGAGCTTCGAATTCTGACGCGCGAGGAAGCTAAGAAAAGAAGGGTGAAAATATGACACTTATACGAGCCTAAAGAAGATAATAAAATTGAATTATCAATTCATATGAAAATTACAAAAAATCTTTTGTTGAACCTGAAAAAAAATTTTTGACTTAAGTTGAAAACAACTTTTTTCATGATTCACTTTAGCATTCATTTTCACGCATTGATAAATTGAGCTTTTAAGACTGAGATTGTTCGTCGGTGATTTGTTTATCTATTAATGGTATCACTTCCCTTTTCCCAAGCCCTTTCAGTTTCGGTTTATTTACCGTACGGCAAAAGTTACAAAACTTCAAGGAGGCTTGACATATTTCGGTTTCGTATAGTGTACACGTGCTTTTTGTTTCTGACCTTCCCCTTGCAATTGCCTTTGACGGACGCAAGATGTTGTTATATGGTGCATATTTTTGTTTAGCTTGTTTTTTTTGGTACACACACTCACACACATTTTGCCGCAGTACTCAAAGCAGCAGAAATAAATTTAAGACTCAAATTGTTAGATGTCCGTAGCAGGTTGTTTGCCTAAACTTGAATTTTTGGAATAAAAATTCAAGATGGCGGTTGCCTTAAATGACGTCACAGGTCCTAAGGAGCGCCATTTCGCCATAATATTAAGACATTTTGCGGAATAATCTGCATCTTTTGCATTGCTTACAAATCACCAGTTAAATGACAAAGAATTGCATCACCCTTGAAATCGGTAGTTTTCGTCACTGAAAAGCAAAAGATAATCACAGAGCGGCTTTAAATCATGTTAAATCAGTGGAGCTTTAGTTTTGGTTGAATGTGACCTACAAGGTATTTAGGCACTTGCAGGAACACTAAACGAATTCAGTTTTAGTAAAGGATGTATTCTTAAAGTTTAACTTAAACCTGTTATGAAAATGATAATTTGCAACAATAACTCAGGGATTCCCTTTCAGGCCATTACGGCCAAGCTCTTTCAAAGTTTAAATTAATGTTCAGTTAAATAAAGTATCTTAAACAATCCTCTAGAAAGAAATCCATTTCATTGATAGATTACAATGAAATCTACTAAATAAATGGAATCTGCTGAAAACTATAGCTTCCCACGCAGACCTTTTGGCCCTTCGTGCAATCTCGATGATAACCTACGTGGGAGACTAAGGGAAAGAAGTCTGCTTTAGTAATCACAATTACCAAAGGATCAAATATTTGGGAATTAAACCTTTTTAATACACGTCCGGTCCAGAGCTTGTTTCAGTCTGAATCCGGTACTTTACAATATGACCCGGAAAACTCTGCATTACTGAAGATTTAAACTGAGAATTTATCATCTTCTTACAAACGATATTCCGTCTTTAACTCGGGATAAGTAAGTCTCTAACATGGAACCATATCAAGAATTTTCTGATCCAGTTAACACTACCAGACCACGCCTTTTGCTACCGATACAGTAATTTGTGCAAAATATTAATGTGGAATAATAGCGTGATTTATAATCGAATCAATAAGCGTTTTTAGAGATTAAGGAAATCCCGAATGCTCCCGGGCGACAGAAGAAAGCAACTGTCCAAAGAGTTATCTTTTTTTTCCCAAAAAACTCGATATTTAGTTTTCATAGATGATATCATATTTACCGGATGCGGTTAAAAAGGAATGTTTCGAGAAAGAGAGAACAACCTGGGCGAAATGAAACAGCAACTGATCGTCGGTTTTCACCCACTGACGACAGTGTGATTGGGATTCTGCGGAGTGAAGTAACATTCAATTGGATTTTGAACAACAAGTGTCATGTTTTTCTATCACAGTGAATTTCAAGGTATGATCTATCTACAGTTTTAAACTGCCCTTTCTGTAGTTGAAAACTTTCTTACCCTTCGATAATCCTAAGAGAGACAGGAATTGCCTCGTTAATAAGGTACACATTTAGTGGTTTCTCTCTCTAGTAACTGTGATTTCTTGCACAGGCTAAAACGGAAATATTTGGATTTACCTTTAAAAGATCCATAACAAAACTTTTGTTAATGGACAGTAAAGTGTGAAAATTCAACAAACATCAGATTAGTACTGTAATTTCCTATGTGTGTAAATTGAGTGAACCGATTAAAATGAGAACTGCGTAAAATCCACATGAAAACATCAAAACGTTCGACGGNCACTGACGACAGTGTGATTGGGATTCTGCGGAGTGAAGTAACATTCAATTGGATTTTGAACAACAAGTGTCATGTTTTTCTATCACAGTGAATTTCAAGGTATGATCTATCTACAGTTTTAAACTGCCCTTTCTGTAGTTGAAAACTTTCTTACCCTTCGATAATCCTAAGAGAGACAGGAATTGCCTCGTTAATAAGGTACACATTTAGTGGTTTCTCTCTCTAGTAACTGTGATTTCTTGCACAGGCTAAAACGGAAATATTTGGATTTACCTTTAAAAGATCCATAACAAAACTTTTGTTAATGGACAGTAAAGTGTGAAAATTCAACAAACATCAGATTAGTACTGTAATTTCCTATGTGTGTAAATTGAGTGAACCGATTAAAATGAGAACTGCGTAAAATCCACATGAAAACATCAAAACGTTCGACGGGACCGTGTGGAAATTCCACAAACAGATATCTGCAGTGATTTCTCGTGCGATTGTTTTTACTAATCAATAATAACATTTCCCCTCTTAGTCTTAGATGACCTTGGGTCTCTAGTTAGAACTTAAAACTAAGCGTAGTCTAACTTGATGAACTATACATTTAGTCTGAATAAAACAAGATATTTCAGTCTGCCAGTTTGTGCACAGCTGGTGTGGATAAACCGGCCGGAGCCAAAGATTTGACTACGAGCACGCCGTACTATGCACGCATGGTACCAGTAGGAGCGAGGGTTGTTACACTTGGAATTTTCAGTCAGTTGTATCCCCAGATATCTCAACCTCTCTTAGCATGCTGTTAAAGAGACATTGGGAATAAGATTCTTGTCATTATTATCTGGGGCTCACGAACCTTGTTTAAAATTGATTCACCCTCCTACTAAATAAATCTCGCATACATGTTGTCCAATATATAAAGATACTATTGACTCTCATACCAAGGAAAGTTGATGATCTACAATTTAATGTTACTCATGTGTGTTTTGGTAAATTCCCTTTCTTGCCGCTTAGTTTCAGTTTCATTTTAAAAGGAGCACGTACATGTTACTTCAAATAAATTGTGCTTAGTCATCGTAATATCAATACGTAAAATATACTACCTACAAAATGCAACCAAAAGTAAGCAAATGTGTGAATCGGGTTTGGAAGCAGGCTGCATACCCTATACCACCAATGCGACCAGAAGAAAAAAGGGGTGAGCTTTTAAGAAATCATTCTACAACTACTTAGAATTCACGGAATTACTGAACGAGTTATTTACTCTTCTTTCTTGAAAAACTTGCATATTGCCCTGAGTGAGCGAATAATGCATAACGTAACTGACAAACAAAATAATCCTTTACAATTTGCAGTTCCGTTTAAGAATTAAAAAATTCAAATCAACTTCTCATTATTAAGAGGGATATCTATCTGAAGGTAAAATAAATAATAACTTGTTAGCATATTTTCCTGAGTTAAAATAACTCATAGCATAACTCACCAACAATTTGCCATTCTGTGAATGAAATTTTCGACCCAGTTCTCATTGTTTCGCGTGGCGGATAGATTTAGTAAACGTTTCTTCGAAAAACTCCTTCTTGTCGTACGGTTCTGAAGAGTGGAAGCTTCCTTTTACCGCTTGTAACGGAACCCTGAAGGACAGTACTGAGACGTTTTGAACAGCCTACAGCAGTTCAACAGTTTATTTGCATATTAAGTTTGTCATTTGGGTTGTTTTTGTTCTGAATTTTGAAAAAAAACATGCACGCTTTTCGAGAACAATGCATCAACCTATAACAGCATTGAGAATGCAATACTCTGGGGATGGACATCTTCACGCTGTTCAAAACACTGACCGCACGCGTTTTAACAAGTTCAAAAATTCGAGCACGAATATTCTAAACATCATGTAATGATCAAAACATTTACAGTTGTGTAGGACTTTCGTTGTTTGGCATTTTCAATTTTGACATTACAGAAATTCCCTCAGGTCAATTCGTTGTGTATTCGCTCGCTGGGATAAACAATGACTTGACGCGACTCCTGAGCTACCGTCATCGAGCTTATACTTTGCTTATTTGCAATACGAACATTAAGAGCCTGTTTACGTGGAGGTGGGGGACCCCAGATAGATGAGGTACAATTTGGCGGGTCACCCCACCTATCATGTAAGCGTGATCAAATTAAAATGAGAGATTATATGGACAGGCGGGTTACCACACCTAACTGGGGCCCCCCTGCTCCATGTAAACAGGCCCTAACTTATAGCAAAGTGGAAAATTATTTTACTAAATTTTAGCACGTTTAGGGTTTTCCGATTTAGCGGAAATTCTGCGGAAGTGGAACTAGCCAGTTTCAAATAAGTTCAATTTCTAGCCTTTCTATTAGTGAAATTCGTTTAACACTCACTACTGTAAGTAAATTGCTGGATTGTTTGTAACTTTTAACACTTTAAGGGCCTGTTTACACGGAGGTGGGGGACCCCAGGTAGGTGAGGTAACCCGCTTTGGTGGGGTCACCCGCCTGTCCATATGATCTTTTATTTTAATTTGATTACGTCTACATGATAGGTGGGGTGATCCGCCAAGGCGGGTAGCCCGGTCTGCCAGACCGGGCAACCCTCTCAGCCGGGGTGAAATTTTGCCATGTAAACGTTCAAGGTGGGGTAACCCGCCTGGCCGGGGTCGGATTCGTGATACATCAAATTCGCGCAAAATTCACTTTGGTGGTGGCTTTGCATCATTATTAAAGGAAACAATAGAAAGCCACAGCACTGAATGTTGCAGCAAGAGCAACAAGTGAGTGTTGAAGAGCATTAAACGCCAAAACACGTGGTTTGCCAGCATATTTCTTGTTTACGTGCTTAGCGACCATTCAATAATCTTGACAAAGTGCACCCCGGGATGGCGGGTTGTAAGATTGCATGTAAAGGAGGGTTATTGTTTTACCCCACCTAAGGGGGTTACCTCACCTACCTGGGGTCCCCCACCTCCATGTAAACAGGCCCTAAGACCCTGTTTACATGGAGTGGGGGACCCCGGTCTAGTGGGGTAGGTTTCTTTTGTTTTGTGTCCCCAGAGCGTGAAAACAAAAAAAAACCAACCCCACTAGACCGGGTCCCCCACTTCATGTAAACAGGCCCTAACACCTTACGAGACCAACTGCAGCGCTCAACTTTATATTATTCTTGCAAAGTTACATATAATCGATTCACCAAGAAAATCAGGATTCAAGGAAGTAATTTCCATGGCCAAATCTTTCGAGTCTCAGGCTGAAGAAGACGAGAAAAAAAAAAATGGAATATTGCTCTTCAGCCCCCAACAAATCACGGCACGTAAATAGTGCAAGCAAAAATCACAATACACCGTGAAAGTCGGGCTTTGCACTCTCAGAAACAAAGGTGCTGAAGTATGGAAGGTTATAATGTTTCTAATACTGGGTTTATATGCGGAGCGTGGGAAGAAGGTTTTCACCCTATTCTTTCTACCATCAAAACTAAGCAGGCACTCAGCCTAATTTGTCTAAACCTTCATTTTGAACCAGCTTAAAATGTGTGTTTTTCCAAAGAATATGCATGTAACATATGTGCTACTTTGTTATTCTTTTGTTATTCAATAAGTTGTCATATATAAGGCTTTCTTCTGCAACTATCCCGCGCCTTAGTGGGAACTCATGGAATTTCGCGCCAGTGTCAAAAAATATTTGCATGCGCTTAGTTTGTTGGAATGCACCAATAACTATGATTGCACATTCCGCCGTCTGTATAAATTCATTGAGCTTTTGCCATAGTTTTCAACCCTCACCCTAACCGACAAAACGCACAGAATCGAATAGATATCCACAAGTACACAAAATTGCGAGATGCGATGCCTGGAGACTTCCCGGCGTCTTTCCCAGTTTGTAGGAGAGGAGATATACAATGTTGTTCCTTTCTGTTTATAAATTATCGTATTTATATGGCACTCGATGAGACAATGAAAACGATTCTTATTTACGTTTGACGTAGCAAAAATAGAAATAACCTGCGATAAGGCCTCCCAAAGAAAATAGGAAAATCTAAGGACCGCCTGATCGCAGGTTAATGAAGAAATATTAGATATGGTCCCAGGATATCATCCGGCAAACAAAAGCAGAATTGTTTACTTTTTTCCTTGTTAGCGTATATGCTTTATCTTTTTTAAACGACTTTTAAAAACCGTTAGCACCGAGTGTGAATTTATTTGCAGCATACGCGTATTGGCCAAATGCGACCGGCTAGACACAAATACTGCAAATGAATCCTCTTGTTTAAGAAAATATTTACCAAGCATGTTTGTGCTCATTTATCCTTTTACGATCCAGATATTTTGCATAAACAATGATATCATGCAAAGATTTACTTACAGCGAAAGAATCAAGATGACCGTTTAAAGTATAATGGAATCAATTTCACATCTCGGAAAAATGGCTCGAACTTTCGCTAAATCGGAAAACCCTATTAATGAGAACGTGTTCTGAACACTCTAAATAACAAGTGAAAGAAAAGGACGGTGAAAGAAACGAATAGCCCCCTTTAGCTTACAAGTACGTTTTGTTTTCCCAGGGGAACTTAACCCTTTGTCTTCTCATAATTTACGCGTAGATATGCACGTGAATAAGACGAGATTTGAAAGAAACAGTTCTCTTGGAGTATTGTCACATGACCTGTATTTGGGAAAATAGAATGTCAAGTTAAAGAGGTCTATTGCCCTTAACCCTTTAAACCCTAAGACCCAAATTTGAATTCTCATTTGTTGCCTCTATTCATCTCCTACAGAAGTAGTGGGAAGAAGTTGAGAAAATATCAAGCAAATTCATCTTGTGTGATCATGTCCGTAATTCTCGTGACCACTCTTTCTTTTACAAAGCATTGATATTACAACGAGAAATTTGATACTGGTCACTCTTAGGGCTTAAAGGGTTAAGGTTGGTGAGCTGAGACTGGGATGTTTTCTGTGATAGATTCATGAGAGACAAGTAAGCGAACGATCGAGTGGTTGAGGCTTTCGTACATAAAGAGAAGGTTTTTTTACCAGGGACAATTAAACAGGTACAAATATATCTTCAAATGACTTAAAATTGTTACGAGTGCGACGTCGCCGACGGAATTTCCGAACTCCTGTTGTCTCTTAGAAATCCCGGTTACCTCTTCCTTTGGCTGATCAACTCCCTGTTGGTCACGAAAAGGCAGATAGATAATGTTGAGATACAAGATTGATTTGAAAAGTACCGTATTTGTAGTCCAAAACCTTTCAGTTTCGAATCCTTAAGATCAGGGGAAAGTGACGACAGCGACTGGAGGTCTTTTAAAAAGTGAATTCGCGATTATTCCGACCTATGTCATAGCCAACTCACTTTGTCAAATGTAGACGAACTTTCCTGCCGAGTTGAATTCCTACGAACCATATCCAATTCAAGTTCTGAGAGAGAGAAAGTTTTGTCTGCGCTTCTGTACGTCCTCCATAAAGCGTGAACTCTGGGCACTTTACGTCGTGGTCGTGCAGTGACGGCAAGGAAATGTACAAACAAGCGCAATGCACATGCAGAGATGTTGTTTTGCTTATTAAAAATTTTAAGCGTTTTCACTCACGTTGCCAACAGCTACGCCAATTTGTTACCACAAAAGAAAGCGTTTACTTAAAAGGAAAAAAAGTTCAACTTCCACGACCAATACTGGTTTGGGACACAAACATGGCGGATGTGCGTGGCGGACGTGCGTGCAAAGGCTCTATTGTTTTTGTTATTTCAGCGTTGTCATAGGACCTTGCGGTCCCTACAACGGGCTTATCTCCGGTGTAATGTAATTTGTTACTCACAGCTGAAACAAAACAAAGAACACAAAACGTCCTTAACAATGGACCTAAGCCCGACAATTCTTATAATCCATAAAACAAAGAAAACGAATAGATTATATTACACCGGGGATGACCCCTATAACGCAAAGACCTTTCTGTAAAGAGCTTTCGAGTGAAATAGGTATCCTCAGTAAAGATTATACTATTATCGTTATAATTAGTAGTATTAGTATTAGTTAGTATTAGTATCATCATCCTTCTTAAACACAGCTTCTACGAATGCCTTAAACATCAAGTCAATGCCCGTGACCTTAGGAGTCTAAGACTAAGCGAAGGTTCTATTTCGATGATTCTAAACGACATGTGACACCAATCCCTGCTGCTAACTACTTTTCTATGTCGTTCGAGACAGTTCCTAATGACAAAAGGCCACTTGTACAATGGCGTCATTTTACTACTACGACCAGAATCCTTTACGTTTTTCCTTTCATATTTAAATTAGTAATCTCAGCGAGGATTAAATCACAAAAAGAGCCATTGTCTTTCTCTCGGGTGTCAAGTGGACACTGCATCATCAATAATCAGACACTTCTGTTCTATCTTATCCAATAACAGAACGTCAGGCTTGTTGAGTTCAATCTTGTTTACAGTCTGTATTTTGAAGTTCCACAGCTTGTTGTTAGTGAATTCATACACTTGTTGTGGCTCATGGTTGCAATATTTTTCATCGCTGTCATAGGCCAGCTTTCCACATTATTATTATTATTATAATTATTATTATTATTATTATTATTATTATTATTATTATTATTATTATTATTATTATTATAATCATCATTTGCGCTCTTATAATATAGTTGATCGCCAGCATGTGGAGGCGTCAGATGGGCCAACAGGACAAGGTTCAGACAGCAGCTCAGTTACTCACTACAAGAATATAGTCCACTTGTGGGAATTCTTGCTGGAGCTTCTAGCTGATGAAAGCTGCCGTTCAATCATAACTTGGAGCAACGAAAATCGTATGGAATTCAAAATAAAAGTTCCTGATGAAGTGGCCAAAAGATGGGGGCAATTCAAGAGGACACGGACCATGACGTATGACAAACTAAGCAGGGCTCTGAGATTTTACTATAGCAAAGGAATCATTCAAAAGGTGAGTTCAATAGAACCCTCCATTGCGACCTCACCCAATGATATGCCAAGGTTTTTTAGATTTCAAATGTATGTAGTATTATGATAGTGGAAATGTTCCTCGCAGTTGAACAAACACCCTAAGCAGTTGAAAAAAAAACGTTCACCGGGATATCGAACCTGAACCTTTGCGATGGTCGGACGCAACGCTCTATCCATTAAGCTTATCAAGCCAACTGGAGAGCAGGCCATTGTGAGTTCGTCAGGGGCACCCAACGTCAATTTTCGTAAAATATCTGTTCGGAAGACGATTTGAGATCTAGAATTTTCGGAACATTTGTTGTAAAATTTCTTGCTTTCCTGCCTCTCCTAGGATTTTCGAACATTTAAAAAATGGTATAACTGCCCATTTTAAACAGATTTTTACCCTGAAAAGGTCACCTAGAATTTCCGGGAGCCTTTCTTCTAGCTGAAATTTTCGAAAAGGTAAGTTTTCATCCCTTCAATTTTCGGATCGGATTTTCAGCTATAAGAAGTGATTTTTAGGGGATAAAAATATGCCTATATCTCAATCTATCTATATTTGAATACTAAAATGTGTTTAACAATGCTATGTTTAAGTGGTTTTGAACTATATTCTCGTTGGGTGCCACTGGTTCGTAATATACCCGATGGTGGAAATGAAATGGATGGAAATATTTGCGAGGATCATTTCCACTTTCATGCCATTATCTGCAGTTCAAAATATGAGTCACCTAATATACTTCGATTAATGTGTGAAGTAATGTTACTGGAAAAACTGAATTACTCTGGTACTGAGTTTGAAAAGGTGGTCGCTCGTTTTTCCAGCTTCATTGCGATACGATAATAACAATAGTCTCCGTCGCAACTGGCGCAACCCACTAAAAAACTTCAATTTTACACCAGCCATTTGTATGAGGAGCGGTTAAAGGCGAGTTGGTCACACAGGAAAGTTCGTGTGCTGTAATGTCATGGATTAGAGGACAACAAGACGCGCCCTCTTTACATTATATATTAACATTTTAACAGTCAACTCGGACGTCAGCACTCAATGGCGCCAGTGGCAGCCACTATCTGTTCATTTATGAGCTTTCTGTAACCCACCCACAGCCCATGATATGAATGATGCGTGAAAGGAGGACCACATCACCGGGAAAACTTCTCCTAGTCTTTTCGAACATTAGTGTGCGTTCTTTTACGTCCCCTTCCATTTGACTAATGAAAGAAGGATGAAGGAGACAAGGCCAACGGCTTAACGTCACCGCCCATGCAACAGGGGCACCCAACGACAATTTTCGGAAGAATATCTGTTCGGAAGACGATTTGAGATCTAGAATTTTCGAAACATTTGTTGAAAAATTTCTTGCTTGCCTGCCTCTCCTAGGATTTTCGAACATGTAAAAAATGGTATAATTGCCCATTTTTAACGGATTTTTACCCTAAAAAGGTCACCTAGAATTTTCGGGAGCCTTTTTTCTGGCTGAAATTTTCGAAAAAGTAAGTTTTTATCCCTATTATTTTCGGGTCACTAGACTTTCAGCTAGGAAATTCGAACAGATGAAAAACTTTTAGGGGATAAAAATATGCTTATGTCTACCGCTTAAATACTAAAATACGTTTAACAGTGCTATGTTTAAGTGGTTTTGAACTATATTCTCGTTGGGTGCCCCTGATGCAATGACGCAGTGGACAGTGTCATCTTTCGCGTGAGTTATAGGACTATCGCATCTAACTATCATTTTGCATTTCCTATCTTAGGTTCCAAAACAAAGGTTGGTGTATCGGTTTCATAAGCTGCCTTACAAATACGAACCAGGCGTGACACGTTGGCGACCTCATGGACAGAGAATCAAGGCTTGCATCACACAGAACGAGTCTAGCGTGACGACTACAGAGTACGGTGGCCATGGAATCAATTCATACATTGGGCAGCGTGGAGCCGGGATAAATCTATTCATTGGGCAGCGACAAGCGTTTCAGAAAGAAAAGCCAATTACCCCTCCCCTCATGGGGCATGACTGGTCTTCTGCTTTTACTCCTGTCATCACCCCATTCAGGAGAAGCCGGGCTGCCTCGTCGTTTCTGCCCACATCTACGACTCTGCATCCCGCATTGTCTTGTCATGACCCAGTGTTTAATACATCATCTCCTTTTCAACTCAGATCAAGGATCATATTTCCTGATGACATCAATCCTGGGTTTAGGCCGGTTAAACAAGTTAAACCAGTTGGTCATGATATGCAAGTGAAAAGCACTACGGCATCGTCAATACCTGTCTCCGTTATTCAGCGCATTTAAGCCTTCAGTCCCCCAGAGGTAGTCAAAAAAGGTTTATACGAGGAGGCTCCGACCCGAAGTCCAACCCCTTACCCTTTTATATAGCATTATTGGCGAAGAAGGTACTCCTTTCATATACTTTCTATTAACAAATGTCACCCTTTTCACTACCTAGTTCACAGGGTCCAGAGGGGTTTCGTGTGAATAAATGAATTACTTAATTAAAGTCTCAACTTGAAAAATGTCTATACTTGTCGCTTAGCACGATTAATTAACCCAATGGGATCTTTATAAATCTACTGTAGACGATTTCTTCGCTTCTTATCTGATACAATGGCGTCATTTTACTACTACGACCAGAATCCTTTACGTTTTTCCTTTCATATTTAAATTAGTAATCTCAGCGAGGATTAAATCACAAAAAGAGCCATTGTCTTTCTCTCGGGTGTCAAGTGGACACTGCATCATCAATAATCAGACACTTCTGTTCTATCTTATCCAATAACAGAACGTCAGGCTTGTTGAGTTCAATCTTGTTGACAGTCTGTATTTTGAAGTCCCACAGCTTGTTGTTAGTGAATTCATACACTTGTTGTGGCTCATGGTTGCAATATTTTTCATCCCTGTCATAGGCCAGCTTTCCACATTATTATTATTATTATTATTATTATTATTATTATTATTATTATTATTATTATTATTATTATAATTATAATCATCATTTGCGCTCTTATAATATAGTTGATCGCCAGCATGTGGAGGCGTCAGATGGGCCAACAGGACAAGGTTCAGACAGCAGCTCAGTTACTCACTACAAGAATATAGTCCACTTGTGGGAATTCTTGCTGGAGCTTCTAGCTGATGAAAGCTGCCGTTCAATCATAACTTGGAGCAACGAAAATCGTATGGAATTCAAAATAAAAGTTCCTGATGAAGTGGCCAAAAGATGGGGGCAATTCAAGAGGACACGGACCATGACGTATGACAAACTAAGCAGGGCTCTGAGATTTTACTATAGCAAAGGAATCATTCAAAAGGTGAGTTCAATAGAACCCTCCATTGCGACCTCACCCAATGATATGCCAAGGTTTTTTAGATTTCAAATGTATGTAGTATTATGATAGTGGAAATGTTCCTCGCAGTTGAACAAACACCCTAAGCAGTTGAAAAAAAAAAGTTCACCGGGATATCGAGCCTGAACCTTTGCGATGGTCGGACGCAACGCTCTATCCATTAAGTTTATCAAGCCAACTGGAGAGCAGGCCATTGTGAGTTCGTCAGGGGCACCCAACGTCAATTTTCGTAAAATATCTGTTCGGAAGACGATTTGAGATCTAGAATTTTCGGAACATTTGTTGTAAAATTTCTTGCTTTCCTGCCTCTCCTAGGATTTTCGAACATTTAAAAAATGGTATAACTGCCCATTTTAAACAGATTTTTACCCTGAAAAGGTCACCTAGAATTTCTGGGAACCTTTCTTCTAGCTGAAATTTTCGAAAAGGTAAGTTTTAATCCCTTCAATTTTCGGATCGGATTTTCAGCTATAGGAAGTGATGTTTAGGGGATAAAAGTATGCCTATATCTAAATCAATCTATATTTGAATACTAAAATGTGTTTAACAATGCTATGTTTAAGTGGTTTTGAACTATATTCTCGTTGGGTGCCACTAGTTCGTAATATACCCGATGGTGGAAATGAAATGGATGGAAATATTTGCGTGGATCATTTCCACTTTCATGCCTTTATCTGCAGTTCAAAATATGAGTCACCTAATATACTTCGATTAATGTGTGAAGTAATGTTACTGGAAAAACTGAATTATTCTGGTACTGAGTTTGAAAAGGTGGTCGCTCGTTTTTCCAGCTTCATTGCGATACGATAATAACAATAGTCTCCGTCGCAACTGGCGCAGGAGCGTGTAGTCACGCGCCACAACCCGCTAAAAAACTTCAATTTTACACCAGCCATTTATATGAGGAGCGGTTAAGGGCGAGTTGGTCACACAGGAAAGTTCGTGTGCTGTAATGTCATGGATTAGTGGACAACAAGACGCGCCCTCTTTACATTATATATTAACATTTTAACAGTCAACTCGGACGTCAGCACTCAATGGCGCCAGTGGCAGCCACTATCTGTTCATTTATGAGCTTTCTGTAACCCACCCACAGCCCATGATATGAATGATGCGTGAAAGGTAGACCACATCACTGGGGAAACTTCCCCTAGTCTTTTCGAACATTATATTAGTGGGCGTTCTTTTACGTCCCCTTCGATTTGACTATAATGAAAGAAGGATGAAGGAGACAACGGCTTAACGACATCGCCCATGCAATGACACAGTGGACAGTGTCATCTTTCGGTTGAGTTATAGGACCATCGCATCTAACTATCATTTTGAATTTCCTATCTTAGGTTCCAAAACAAAGGTTGGTTTACAGGTTTCATAAGCTGCCTTACAAATACGAACCAGGCGTGACCCGTTGGCGACCTCATGGACAGAGAATCAAGGCTTGCATCACACAGAACGAGTCTAGCGTGACGGCTACAGAGTACAGTAGCCATGGAATCAATTCATACATTGGGCAGCGTGGAGCCGGGATAAATCTATTCATTGGGCAGCAACAAGCGTTGCAGAAAGAAAAACCAATTACCCCTCCCCTCATGGGGCATGACTGGTCTTCTGCTTTTACTCCCGTCATCACCCCATTCAGGAGAAGCCGGGCTGCCTCGTCGTTTCTGCCCACATCTACGACTCTGCATCCCGCATTGTCTTGTCATGACCCAGTGTTTAATACATCATCTCTTTTTCCACTCAGATCAAGGATCATATTTCCTGATGACATCAATCCTGGGTTTAGGCCGGTTAAACAAGTTAAACCTGTTGGTCATGATATGCAAGTGAAAAGCACTACGGCATCGTCAATACCTGTCTCCGTTATTCAGCGCATTTAAGCCATCAGTCCCCCAGAGGTAGTCAAAAAAGGTTTATACGAGGAGGCTCCGACCCGAGGTCCAACCCCTTACCCTTTTATATAGCATTATTGGCGAAGAAGGTACTCCTTTCATATACTTTCTATTAACAAATGTCACCCTTTTCACTACCTAGTTCACAGGGTCCAGAGGGGTTTTGTGTGAATAAATGAATTACTTAATTAAAGTCTCAACTTGAAAAATGTCTATACTTGTCGCTTAGCACGATTAATTAACCCAATGGGATCTTTATAAATCTACTGTAGACGATTTCTTCGCTTCTTATCTGACCCAGATAGACTTTGTTGTTCGCCTGTAAGCTGATCTTGTGAGCCCTCAGTCTCTTGGTTTTCCGGCAAACAGAATGTGTAACAAAACTGTAACGCGATCAAAATAATCCATTTTTTCAGAGGTTTTCAACGGGTTCTGATGTTCTAACACATCTCCTCTGGACCCTGTGCCTAGTTGAGAACTCTGAATCCGTTTTAACTGCTCTAATTGCACTGCCTTGAACGTTTTCATTCTTGACTTTTTTACATAAAAAAATGCATCTGTTAACCCTTCTGGACCTCATGGCTAGAAATCTTGGACAGGCATGCGCTCTCGAGACAGTATTTTTCGCTGTAGCTAATTGGCCGGTAACCGGTCGAGGTTTTCAAAACAATAAATGGCCGGCAGTCCCATATTCTCAGTGAATTTCACAAATAGAAAAAATTCAGCCGTTCTGAACTATCGTAAGTCGTGATCCTGATCAAACCAGCTGGTTTTGTGGGATTTCTATATCATGCTTTTGAAATTTAATGAGAATATAGAACTACGGGTCATTTAGTGTTTTAAAAACCTTGACCGGCAGTCGAAATCAAAAAAGTTCTAAGTGTCACAAAACATGGTTTCGTCTTCTGAGCCTAGCGTAAACCAAACACTAGACTTGAGATCTATAAAGCATTTCAGGATCGCTTGACTTGTCTTAATCGTCATATGATAGTTTAGATTAGCTAGAATCTTTTACTGAGAATATGGGACTGCCGGTCATTTAGTGTTTTTAATAACGTGACCGGTTACCGGCCATATAGCACTAGCAGCTAAATACAGGAATTGCACCGACCTGTGATTGGAAGATAAAAATAGTATATATGTCAGTGGCGATGACGTGACAATTCGTTACGTTAGCCGTTTCAAGAGTAACGGTTTTTACACGAAAAAGACAGTCCACAGGAAAATACAATATAATATTAAATATTTCTCAAAGACAAACAGTGCAGTATTCTTTTCAAGTCGGCTGACTCGCTAAGAGTCAATGTCTTATCAAAGTTGAAGTTCAACTGTCGCAAATCGGATAACTTCACTGAGTGATTCTGAGATGAAACCTTTTTTCTGCATCCACATTGATCTTAGATTTTACCACTTACATATTGAAGAAAAGCCATAAACAAAGCTTCAATATCCACGTACACCCGACTGAACCTCGGTGCGATTCCTGCAGATACCGCTGTTCATACTAAATGCAGGAATTGCACCGGACGTGTTCTCGTCCCCAGAGTCACTCTAAGTTGTATCAGTTTATGGCCGCCATTTTTGGCGGGGGCAATACTTTCAGTCAGCGGCTACAGTTAGACCACAGACATCTCTGAATTTCTCTACTCAATGTGTCCTAAACCTATGAGCCCGAAAACACGCAAAAATGCAGCGGAGTTGTCCATCGCGTGACCGACTAAATGTAAATCTCACGAAATTCGATGTCCGAGATTTCTATACCCTTATACCTGATGCCCGAAAAAGGTACCCCTTTCGGGCGGAGCCTCCCTGTATAGGGCATTATAGCGAGTACCCCCGGCCTTCAAACACTGGCCAATTTCATTAACGAGTCTTTCTATCAAGAACAAGAACTCCAAAGACTACTGCGAAGCTGATTTAAAACAACGTCTATTGTTTTTTATAACAATATTTCGGCTGGCCATACCAGCCTTCTTCAGGTTTACAGATGTTATACGTTGTTTTAAATCAGCTTTGCTGTAGTCTTTGGACTTCTTGCTTCTTGTTCTTGGTTCTTTATACTTTGGCTGATTTGATCTCTTTTCTAGAGATCCAACGTTTACAACTAGCAGGATCTTCGTCCACGGTTTTTGCAGCTAATTTAATTCTTTCTATCAACTTTGATGATTTTGTTTCAGTCGTTATACATGTACGTCGTTTAACATTACCCTCGCATTAATTTCGTCGACCTTAGCCAGGAACTTTATGACTACTATGGAATTGTGAGAGTTTACTCCCTTCGCCTTATGACTAAGCCTTCTGCTTGTAGTGAACAGTGAACAATTAGAAAAAAGTAAAAAAAATGAACATTGTAAATAGTTTGAACCCACAGAAGTCATATAATAACAAGGTTGAATATAACCATACCGGCTAATGTATGATCATGAATAGCTATTTGCTTTTTGGTCTATCGAAAGTAAACCACTACTTTTCGCTTAAATAGATGGCAGGACTTGACGAACTACGGATCATTTCGCTTTTTAGAAGTAATTAAAATTACTTTTTCATGTTACTGTAGGGTGCTATAAGAGCTAAAAGCTCGTGTTAAAAGCTTTGAATATATTATAATCTCTTTGAGTTGCCCTGATGAGGACTTTTAATAAAGACAAAATATCGGCAAGAGTCGCTTTTGTCCTGTTTTTTGAGGTTTTATAATCTATTTGAGATACTACCACTACTCTGGAAGCATTGCTCAAATTCTTGTTATCTTTTTTAATCACAAAAAATTGTATATAAAAGGGTAAGGGGTTGGACTCGGGGCGGAGCCTCCCCGTATAAACATTTGTTGAGTACCCCCACCCCCCCCCCCTCCTCCCCCCACTGCGTATCAATACAAAACTCCGAAGCGTTTGTTTCTTGTCTTTTGTCGAAGCTATGATGATGTGATGGCGTTATTCAAGTGATATATCAAACAAGAAAAGAGTGTTTAAAGGGGCTGTGTCACAGCAGTCCAGTTCATTTTGTTTAATTTTGCCAATTACCCGCCCTCAATTTCTATGGAACTTGAAGTAAGCAAAGAAATTACACGTAAATGACAAAATCAGAGATCTGAGGCAAACAAATATGTCTCCTGAGCATTATTTTTGAGGTCGTAAGCAGCAGCGATCAACTTGAAAAACTGTTAGGCTGAACAGTTTTCAAAAACCCTAATGTCAATCCGTTTCAATCTTCTTCAACCTCCCTTTAAAGTTTTAAGCGGTTATTTTTTTTTTGCTTCTCTTAATTTAACGGGCATTTTGTAATTTCCTAATTTGGCTGAATTTCGTGACACAGCTCCCTTAAAGTTACATATCAAACACGAGTGGGAGTGTTTCTATGGGCTATGATAGATTGTGCTAGCATAATTTTGGGGCAAAATTTTTTGGGGGCTGTTTTCCGAAAAAACATTGCTAGCATAATTTGCACTTTGGACGAGTTTTGCAGCACGAAATTACCATTTATTTATCATGCAACCATAATTTGGCCCGAGATCAGTGTTACAGGCAAATTTAAGCTGCTTATCGTAACATTCATGGGACCTTGGTGCCAAAGGAAGTGACACTGGACTAAACACACGCGCATAATTAGCTTAGTTACCAAGGTGGATAACATCCTCCTCGATCTGCATAATTTTTCACATCCTACTCAGCCTCACTCAATAATATATTGCTAAAAGCCACTACAAAGAGACGATGTTTCAACTAATATCCATACACAAAGAACTGATATACTCAGACGAGAAGGAGCACGTCATTCACGCAGAAGCAATACTCGGTAGAAAACGAGGAAGCGGTATTTTTGCATATGTAAAACATCAAGAAGTGTCAACCAAGATCTATCGTCAATGCAAAGAAGAAAGAATCAAAATTTTAAGAAATGATAACTACAATCAATAAGCTAAAACAAATATTTACAAACTTGTACAATACATTGTTAATTCATGCAAATAATGTTACCTATTTTGTTCTATAACCTATTATGTAATGCTAAAGATCCTTCAAATCGCCTATAAAAAATATATTACAAGATTAAGGTTATCCACTGATAAAACCTATTTTGGCAACGAGAATTAATTGTCTTTCTCAGCATTAGAATATCGATAGAATAAATTTTGCAATGTTTTTTTCTTTATGTGGTCTTTCTTGTAAAAGATTTTTTTCCTATTTGCCCAGTTGGGGGTCTAACATGTTTGAACTATGCTAGTGTATGCATCAAAGAGACTTTAAAAACTATATGTACATTGTTTGTGAACCATAGTTAACGACTTTACTTCACAATAAAAGTTTTCAATTTTCAGTAAGGTCAACAATTTTGGTGTTGAGGATGATAAGCATGATACAGTCGACTCTCTCTTAACGGACACCTTTGTAAAACGGACACTTAGAGTTGGTTCCTGCCTTTCTTTACTCCCTTTATTTGACTCTCTATAAGACGGACACCTCTCTAAGACGGACAGTTAGTGCCGGTCCCAAAGGTGTCCGTCTTAGAGAGAGTTGACTGTAATTGCGATTAACTATAAATGATTATGATAATGATGATAAAGACGATGATAATGATGAGGATGAGGATTATGATGATGATAATGGTGATGATGATGGTGATAATAATGATGGTGGTGGTGGTAAAAGCATCTGTGTCAGGCGTTTCTCTCCTTCAGCTCTCTCCCTTTTTCCCTTCCATCTTTCCCCTTTTCGCCAGAAACGCCTGATACTCAGGCTAGTGGTGGTGGTAATGGTGGTATTAATGAAGATAATTATGACAATGATGATCATCATGACAAAGATAGACTGTTCACGTGCCTCTATTTTTCCGTAATATGGTCGAGATCGAGGGCTTTGCGTTACGGGCTGCCATCTTGCATGAGTGTCAAAACTATTTGAAAATCAAGATGCACACCATTAATGATAAGACGCGCTATGTCTCGACGATCTCACGTAAAAATTAGGGACTGTGAACAATCTATGACAAAG